ACGCGTGGTAGTTCGGTGCGCTGATAATTCTACGCGTGGTAATTCGACGCGTTGGTAATTCGATACGTGGTAATTCGACGCGTGGTAGTTCGGTGCGCTGATAATTCGACGCGCTGGTAATTCGATACGTCGTAATTCGACGCGTGGTAATTCGATACGTGGTAATTCGACGCGTGATAGTTCGACGCTCTGGTAATTCGACGCGTGGTAATTTGATACGCGATTCGACTCACAATCACTCACCGCATATTTCCCAATATAATACCTGGTGATTCGATGCAAATTGATAATATAACATATTGATACTTGCTCACGTGGTAATTCACTGCATGATGTTTCAATGCATGCTCCCATAACAAGCAACAGTATAACGCATTACAATACAGAAATTAAAAAATCTATTAAGATCGAATATTGCTCTTCAACGAATATAAAATAGTGTCGTCGATAAATTGGTATAACATGGCAGTATCGATTGGCGAATATATGACGATCGAAGGTCACGGTCAATGTCTCGATTGACGTTCAGTCGGTGTGTGACAGTTGCGACTGCGCCCCCGGGTACAAGGGACTTCGATGCGAGAACAACGTCGACGATTGCGAGAATAACAAATGCGCCAATAACGCAACCTGCGTCGACCTCATACAAGCCTACAGATGCGACTGCGCCCCAGGATTCATGGGCGAATATTGCGACGAGAAGATACCCTTTTGTACAAAGGGGCACGACCCCTGCGAGAATGGGGGTCGATGCGTCGATCACGAGACCCACTATAGCTGCGAATGCCCAATCGGCTTCTCCGGCCTTAATTGTTCCACCAACTTGGATGACTGCGTTGATCATATGTGTCAGGTATTTCCTTCAACATTTACCAAAATATTTTAACCATTCTTTACAATATCTTTCACTGAAGATTTACTGACATCTTTTCTTATTTTTTGACATATCTTTTGCTGAATATCTCTTGAATTTTACTTCGTTTACTTCACAAAAATTTAACTGGAGCTCTGTTACTGTGCATAGGACTTTAGTATGAGCTTGCAAGATTTTATGTTTCTAATCATGTGCAATGTATTTCAGAACGGTGCTACTTGCATCGACGGCATAAACGATTACGAGTGTAAGTGCGCGGCGGAATATACAGGGAGATATTGCGAGGCAGCACCTTCGACAGCCATGCTTTACCCACAGACTAGTCCATGTGCACACCATGACTGTCAGCATGGTGCGTGCTTCCAACCAGCTCCCGCTTCCGCCGCGGACTATCTTTGCCAGTGCCACCCCGGCTACACCGGTAAGTAATTATTTCACAATCCTATAAATTATTTTCCTTAGACATTTTCTTAGACATCGTAGTGAAGGCAAACTAGACTACGCTAATGGCATGAGAAAATCATTGAGCTATACTACTAGCTACATAGGACTCCCTGACAAATCCTATTTCCACCCGTTCTCCTTCCGCCATCGATTGCATTATATCGATCCTGCATCTCGACGTCGAATTAACTTGCCGAAGTACTCTGGCTTTGCTGAGTCCATTAACGGACGATGAGATTCAAAATCACGGGTTTGGTAGATGAAGATTGTAGCAAATAATGGTGGAAAACTTGGAAAATTTTTATTTTATTGTTATTCGTAGGAAAGTTAATTGATCAATTCAATGTTGAAATTACAATCAGGTAATTTGACACGTGGTAGTTCGATGCGTGATAGTTCGTCGCGTTGGTAATTCGATACGTGGTAATTCAACGCGCTGGCAATTCGACACGTGGTAGTTTGATGCGTGGTAATTCGATTCGTGGTAACGCAACCCGTAGTGATTCCACGCGTGGTAATTCCACGCGTGGTAATTCGACGCGTGGTAATTCGACGCGCTGGTAATTCGATGCGTGGTAATTCAACGCGCTGGTAATTCGACGCGTGGTAATTTGATGCGCTGGTAATTCGATACGTGGTAATTCGACGCGCTGGTAATTCAACGCGTGGTAATTTGATGCGCTAGTAATTCGATACGTGGTAATTCGACACGCTGGTAATTCGATACGTGGTAATTCGATGCGTGGTAATTCTACGCGCTGGTAATTCGACGCGTGGTAATTTGATGCGCTGGTAATTCGATACGTGGTAATTCGACGCGCTGGTAATTCAACGCGTGGTAATTTGATGCGCTAGTAATTCGATACGTGGTAATTCGACGCGTGGTAATTCGACGCGTGGTAATTCGATGCGTGGTAATTCTACGCGCTGGTAATTCGATACGTGGTAATTTGATGCGCTGGTAATTCGACGCGTTGGTAATTCGACGCGCTGGTAATTCGATACGTGGTAATTCGACCCGTGGTAGTCCAACGCATGGTAATTCGACCCGTGGTAGTTCAACGCGTGGTAATTTGACTCTTTTAAACTGTCAAGTTCCAACAGAAGTACAATAAAATTTCTCACTTGTCACTAAATTCGAAATAAATGAAACATTTTGTAGGAAAACGATGCGAGTACCTGACGAGTTTGAGCTTCGTGGACAACAGCTCGCTGGTCGAGCTGGAGCCACTACGCACGAGACCGGAAGCGAACGTGACCATCGTGTTCACGACCACGCAGGAGAACGGGGTTCTCCTCTACGACGGTCAGAACGGCGGCCATATAGCTGTCGAGTTGTTCAATGGCCGTGTCCGAGTCTCATACGATGTGGGTAATTACCCAACCTCGACGATGTACAGTTACGAGATGGTAGCCGATGGTAAGCCTCACGTGGCAGAGCTTCTGGCGATCAAGAAGAACTTCACGATGAAGGTCGACCGTGGTCCTGCTAGGAGCATCATCAATGAAGGTCCTAAGGAGTACCTTAAGCTTGCGACCCCTATGTATATCGGCGGCGTCGCGCCGGAAATAGCTAATACCGCGTTTATGGAGTTTCACCTGAGGAACATCACCAGTTTTCAAGGTAAGTTCTAAGGAAATTTTGTGGTTGTTTATTGTAATTCATTTGGTGCACCAGTTCAGATATATTCATTTAATATGTCAGGTCAAACTGCCTAGTCTAATGTATCTGTTCAAACTAACTAGTCTAATGTATCAGTTCAAACTGCCTAGTCTAATGTATGAGTTCAAACTGATTCATCAGGTGCAACACATTCAAACTCATTGACCTAGTGCATTAGTTTAAACTAACTGACCTAGTGCAGCAGATCAAACTAATTCATGTGGTGCACTAGTTTAGACTTATTCATCTAATGTATCAGATCAAACTAACTGATCTAATGTGTCAGTTCAAACTAATTCATGTGCTGCACTAGTTTAGACATATTCATCTAGTGTATCAGTCCTAACTAACTGACCTAGTGCAGCAGATCAAACTAATTCATGTGGTGCACCAGTCCAGACATATTCATCTAGTGTATCAGTCCTAATTAACTGACCTAGTGAATTAGTTCAAACTAATTCATCAGGTGGACCAGTTTAGACTCATTGATCTAATGTATCACATCAAGCTAGTTGATCTAATGTATCACATCAAGCTAGTTGATCTAATGTATCTGTTCAAGCTAGATGATTTAATACGTCAGTTCAAGCTAGCTTATCTAGTATATCAGTTCAAGCTAGCTCATCTAGTATATTAGTTCAAACTAACCCACCTTATGTATCAAATCATGCTAACTCATCTAGTCTATCAATTCAACCAGGTTGATCCAGTGTATCAATTCAAACTAGTTGATCAAATGTATCAGTTCAAACTAGTTGATCAAGTGTATCAGTTCAAACCAGCTGATCAAGTGTATCAGTTCAAACTAGTTGATCTAGTATGTCAGTCCAAGCTAGCTCATCTAATATATTATCTGTTCAAGCTAACCCACCTTATGTATCAAATCATGCTAATTCATCTGGTCAATCAGTTCAACCAGATTGATCCAGTGTATTAATTCACGCTAGTTGATCTAGTACATTAGTTCAAGCTAGCTCATCTGGTCTATCAGTTCAAACTAACTGATTTGGACTATCAGTTCAACCTAGTTGGTCCAGTGTATCATCAAGCTAACTGACCTAGTGATACTCACATGGTATATTCTGACTATGTGGTCCACAAAAGTTTAGCTTTGAATGCTGGAAGTGTATGAATGGTTTTGACTAAGGATTGTGACTGTCCACAGGATGCATCTCAGAAATGTGGATCAATCACAAGTTGGTGGACTTCAGCAACGCGGCAAAAATGCATCGGGTGTCTCCCGGTTGCATGTCGAACGAAGAAGAGGCTGATGAAGCGCGGGACGTCGTCGAAGCTGAGGGGATGATGGTTAATATGGGCAGCAACGAAGATTCCATGACACAGGAGAACATGGCTCATGAACATTCCGGTGACTAATTATTTATTATTTTATAATGTGGAGAAGAAAAGTTGTGTAGTATAATAGGAGGTCCGCTTGTAGGGTCCTTCTGGTCCTTCTGGATCTTCTGGTCTTTTTGATCCTTCTGGTCTTTCTGAACCTTCTGATCCTTCTGATCCTTGTGGGCCTTGTGGACCTTCTGATCCTTCTAATCCTTGTGGGCCTTGTGGACCTTCTGGTCCTTCTGAACCTTCTGGGCCTTCTGGTCCTTCTGGTCTTTCTGGTCCTTTTGGACCTTCTAGGCCTTCTGATCCTTCTGGTCCTTCTGGACCTTCTGGTCCTTCTGGACCTTGTGGACCTTCTGGTCCTTCTGGTCCTTTTGAACCTCCTGGTCCTTCTGGTCCTTCTGAACCTTCTGGTCCTTCTGATCCTTCTGAACCTTCTGGTCCTTCTAGTCCTCCTGGTCCTTCTGGACCTTCTGAACTCCTGTCTGAATTCTTCTGAAATGAATGTTATTAATAATTTGGTACGAATGTTGGTATTAATTTTGTGATGTCGATTGTAGACATTGTGATGACAGGCCCAGACACGATAATGTTCGATCCTTGCACGGGACACGAGTGTAGAAAAGGTTCGCAATGCGTGCCATCGCCGGTTGGAAACGGATACACGTGTCGGTGTCAGACTGGATGGCAGGGACGGTACTGCGAAAAAGGTAACTTACACTAACTCCTGATCAAACAGTATAACTCAATCAATTTATACATCAATAAATTTTTAATAGATTGATAGATTTCTGAAAAGAGAGTATTTCAAAGTTGTAATTAATCAAAAAAAAATTGCACCACCACTGCGCAAAAAACATTAGTCATGTTATAATTCGGTGTATACGTTCTTATTACAGCACCGACTTGTCGTAAAGAGCATACTAGAGAGTATTACAGCGAGAACGGATGTCGGAGTCGACGACCAGTTAAGCTTGCCAAGTGTTGGGGTAGTTGTGGAAACTCGTGCTGCCTGCCACGGAAGACAAAACGGCGCAAGGTACGATTTACTGTATTAAATACATCACTGCTTATCTCGATATTCCGTATACTATTCATTCATCAACGGTACAATACATCCATTTTCCAGTGGTATAATCCTATAAATTGTCAGACTTGAGAATTAGACGCCTAACGCAATTTATAACAAAATTGCACGAACTGTAACCTTATACGATACAGAAGCATGTGAAACTGTCATTAATAACTCTAATAATTTGACACGTAAGAAACCCTACATTTGGAACAAGTAGTATAACCCTATAAATTGTCAGACATAAAATCATTTAATGCAATTTATAAGATTTTATACAGACTGTAGGATAACATAAATGCAATTATTTATAAATTTAATAATAGAGAGTGAGATCATGTTGCAGTAGTACAAGTCTTGAAATGGCCAGACGTACTTAGGGATTTAATGTAATTTTAATTTGATGTGCAATTATATTGTAACTGCACTCGTGATAATTCACCGCGTGTTATATCAGGGCGTAATAATTCGATGTGCAATATTACGTCGCGTTGTAATTGCTCTCGTAATAATTCATTGCGTCAGAGATCAGGGCGTAATAACTTCGTGTGTAGCAATCGTGTGTGCAAATATGTTATATTACATAGTAATTGCACATGTGATAATTCACCACGTGGTATTTACATACTTGATAATTCAACACGTGGTACTTACACATATGATGGTTCACTATGTGTGGTATTTACACATGATGGTTTACCATATGTAGTATTTACACACATGATGATTCACCATGTGTAGTATTTACACATGTGATAGTTCACCATGTGTAGTATTTACACATATGACGATTCACCATGTGTAGTATTTACACATATGATGATTCACCATGTGTAGTATCTACACATATGATAATTCACCATGTGTGGTATTTACACATATGATAATTCACCATGTGTGGTATTTACACATATGATAGTTCATCATGTGTAGTATCTACATATATGATAATTCACCATGTGTGGTATTTACACATATGATAATTCACCATGTGTGGTATTTACACATATGATAGTTCATCATGTGTAGTATTTACACATATGATAGTTCACCATGTGTAGTATTTACACATATGATAATTCATCATGTGGACTACCTACACACATGATAATTCACCACGTGGTAAATACACATATGATAATTCACCATGTGTAGTATTTACACATATAATAGTTCATCATGTGTAGTATCTACATATATGATAATTCAACACGTGGTAAAAATACATATGATAGTTCACCACGTGGTATTTACACATATGATAGTTCACCACGTGAGTTATCTACACATCTGATAACTCATCACATATGTTATCTACACATATGATAAATCACCACATATGTTATCTACACACATGATAATTCAACACTTGGTAAATACACATATGATAATTCACCACGTGTTATCTACACATATGATAATTTACCTTGAGTGCTACCTATACACATGATAATTCAACACATGGTAAATACACATACTCCATAATTCCCCGCGTTGTATCTACACACTCGATAATTCACCGCGCATTGATTCTACGTTCCATAACTCCACGTACAACGCTTCTACAAAGATATTTAGTAACACTAAGGTTAAAAACGATGCATAAACATAAAATTTGAAATCACAGCGATATTCAATGATCGATTAATTGCAGGTACGACTAATCTGCGCGGACGGTATGCGGTACACGAAGGACGTCGATTTGGTGCGCAAGTGCACATGCACCAGGAAGTGTTACTAGCCAGGATCGAGGGACGCCGAGCGCCACAGGTGTTCCATAAATAAGCGTCGAGACGTATCGAGACCGAGAGGAAACCCCGGAGAATCGAGACAGTGTCCCAATTCGAACTTTCCACGCTCGCGGACACGGGCGATGTGGCGAGAGTCGATTGGTTATCCGTACAAGCGTGTTCTCGACTCATCCTCGTGGAGCGCGTGACAAACAAGATTTTTGGCCCAGGACTATCTGCCGTTTAAAAAACAAAACACAAAAAAAATAAATGCGAAAAAAAAAACTTGATCAAGGCCGAAATCTACGATGGACATGAATGATACACACAAGCCGGCTCAGTGTGATAAATGTATAATCGAACGAGCAGAAAGAAGTATATTAACTATTAATAATCGTGCGTACGTGGACTATCGATTACGAAGAACAATTCAATGCATAACTAGGTATTATATTAATCGACGTGCATATGTTCAACGAGTTACGAGAGTGGAGAACGGTGCGAGAACATGGGACCGCTGATCGCGCATTAAATGTGTACACAAGATGTGTTCGAAGATAGCAGAATCGTTCGCTCAGTGTGAAATAGATCTAATAGATGATGATCAAGTATTTCATTGTAAATTCATGTTTCATATTGTTGCGATCTTTCAGAAATTTCTTTTTCGTTCGATGCGCTCGAGTGTTAAGGTCGATGACATTTATCTGTGAATTTGCAAGGATGTGGAGTCGACAATTTTAGGATTTGATTATTATTGGGAAGTTGTACGATTGGTGTGGATAGGGTTCACATGTTGGTAGTCATGGTTGAGCTATTGAATGTTTGGTAATATTTTTAGAGTAGATTTTTGGGTCTGATGATTTATATACCTGGGTCACTATGCAGAGTTGTGCATTGTTAGATCACTATTTGTACAGATTACCATTTTCCTAGATTTCTGTTTGACCAGAACCTATAGTTCTAGGTCTGTATTTGACTAGATCCTTACTTGACCAGATCCCTACTTGTCCACATCTACATATACCTAGATTTCTATTTGACCAGATCCCTACGTACCTAGATCTCCACTTGACCAGATCCCTATGCACCTAGATCCCTGTTTGTCCACATATCCATGCACCTAGATCTCCATTTGATCAGATCCTTATATACCTAGATCTCTACTTGACCAGATCCCTACCTGTCCACATCTCTGTATATCTAGATCTCTATTTGACCAGATCCCTACGTACCTAGATCTCCACTTGACCAGATCCCTACGCACCTAGATCCCTGTTTGTCCACATATCCATGCACCTAGATCTCCATTTGATCAGATCCTTATATACCTAGATCTCTACTTGACCAGATCCTTACTTGTTCACATCTACATATACCTAGATTTCTATTTGACCAGATCCCTACGTACTTAGAGCTCCACTTGACCAGATCCCTACGCATCTAGATCCCTGTTTGTCCACATATCCATGCACCTAGATCTCCATTTGATCAGATCCTTATATACCTAGATCTCTACTTGACCAGATCCCTACTTGTCCACATCTACATATACCTAGATTTCTATTTAACCAGATCCCTACGTACCTAGATCTCCACTTGACCAGATCCCTACGCACCTAGATCCCTGTTTGTCCACATATCCATATACCTAGATCTCTATTGGACGAGACACCTACATACCTAGATCTCCACCTGACTAAATCTCTATACACCTAGATCCCAGTTCATCCATATCTCCATATACTTATATCTCTCTTTATCCACATGCTTATATCGCTAGATTCCTATTTGTCCACATTTCTATACTACTAAATCTTCATTTGTCCAGCTTCCTATTTACTTAGACCCTCAGTTGTCCAAACACCTACTTATCCAGATCCTCATTCACCCAAATCCTCATTTGTTCAGTCTCCTACATTCCTATATACTACTTAGACTTTGTGTTCACATCATTATCCTCCTAGTTCCACATATGTCCAGTCCAAGTCTTCATTTCCCTATTCATTCACCTCTTCATGTACCTAACTCTAACATTATAAATTATAAAAATATCCAATGATAAAAATGAATCAACATAACCTATATAACTTCACATCATCCACATATGCTCAACCTGTCAATCAACATATGACACCCATACACCATAAATTTAAATAAAATGGCAATAATCCTTGATAATACAACTGAATAGTAAAACGAAACAACTGTTCTGAAGGATCGATATTTCGTACGTAAGATTCCACACTACGGTGTAAAAGCTACGCTAGGGAATTCGCTTCGTGCGACTATGTTTCCAGATCCGTTGCATGTCCGCGATCATTTGTAACTGTAAGCTGTAACGCGATCGAGCAGATGTGTAAAAAGAGGTAATAAATTGCAAATGTGTTTCCCTGAGAAAAAACGAAACCACGCGATGGTTTGTTAGGTCTATTGTCCTCTGAGTAAACGTTCAATAGTGAACAAGTTCTCGAACAGTGATCGACGTCTGGCAGGTGATTCGAGGATCGGAAAATAGCATTTCCATGTCGACTTGTGTCTTGATTATATGATTCTTTTCTTCTTTTTTTTACGAGTATTTATAACCTCTCGGTATTTTAGTCGGATAATTACGGAGCGTGTTTGAAACGTTTCTTCACTTTCTCAGTGGTAATTTATTGGGGTGAGATTCGATTTAACCCCTCGATCCGACATTTTTAAAATAAAGCAGAATTTTGTCAAGTTGTAACTTATTTTTAAGTTAGGAATATTTTGTGAAATTACTGGTAATTTTAATTTGTGAAATTGTTACAAAATATTTGTAAAATTATTCCAACCTTTTCAAGTTACAATTACTATTCTATCCTTAAACGAATAAGTTACGAATTATATTTTTAATCTTTTTTATTTAATATACACATAGGGAGAAATGTGATCTTCCTCCAAATGTTTATATTTATTTAAATAATCTCATTAAAAATTTGTAAACAAATTACAAACCCAGTGAACAAATTATATTCAAGATACAACAGTATCTTTGAAAGAATGATAATTTACGTAAAACAAAATGTCGGATCAAAGGATTACTAAAAAATCTGCAGTGTACATTTAAGTCGCAGAGAGATACGAATTTCTTTCTGCGAAAGTCTGTGAAAGTTAAGAAACCAGGAGTAGTCTCCAAAAAAGACCATGAACGACTCAGTGAACCTCGAATTCTTCATTCCACAGCCTAACGTTTGTTTTCGAGGTTCGATCGATGTCGAATCGCGCGGAATGGTCAAAAATTGCACCACGTGTGAAAAATGAAAAAAAGAAAGAAAAAGTTGCGAGCGGATGAGGGGACGAGTTAACTCGTCCATAAAAGAGGATCAAGTAATTATTTTTGTATGAGCGAATTATTTAATAATCGAGCGTCGATAATTTCTTGCAATTTAAGCGTGATTCGTTCGGAACTATCAGGTTGTTGCGGATGAAATGAATTGACTGCAGAGAATGGATAATATAGATTTTAAACATACTAATCGATATTGTATGTTTTATATTGTATTATACATTTGCTAGATGTGTTTTGTTTATGTTTTATGAGGCCTTTGTTGAACAATTTTTAAATTTGTTTAATGAAGGTTACTGTATTTGTAGAGGAATGATACATTTTGGTACACTTGGTTCAATTGATGATTATGTGGTTTGTGTTGGGAACATTGATGAAATTTTTGTGTGGTTGTTTTTGTGAGACTTTAAGCTTTAAATTGATGTATCATGAGTAGTATTTGATGAAACTTTTCTGTCATGAAATGGTACTTGACTGCAAATCAGTAATTTGAGCAGATTACAATTTCATGTTATTTTACTGTTTGATATAATTGAATGCCAGTCGTTTCATATCAACGTCAGCAGTGAGCACTTCATACCATTATTTTCGTTAGACTTCAAGCTTTAAATCGATGTATCACAAGCTGTATTTGATGAAACTTTTCTGTCATGAAATTTCAATTGTTTCCAAATCGACAATTTGAGTTCAATAGAATTTCACGTTATTTTACTGTTAGATACAATTAAACACCAATCATTCTATATGAATGCTATCAACGAGCGCTTCACACCATTATTTTCGTTAGACTTTAAGCTTTAAATCCACGTATCGCAAGCCTTATTTGATGAAACTTTTCTGTCATGAAATTTCAATCGTCTCCAAATCAACATGTTAAGCACAACAAAATTTCACATTATTCTACTCTTTGTTATAACTGAACACCAATCGCTTCATATCAAAGCTATCAATGAGCGCTTCACACCATTATTTTCCTCAGACTCTAAGCTTTAAATCGATGTATCACAAGCCTTATTTGATGATACTTTTCTGTCATGAAATTTCAAAAGTCGATCATAGAAGATGCAACAACCTGATACACTATTTAAGTCCCTCTTAATATTCTTTTCTTTTCGCGTATCTATTTATCTTGTATAATAACTGCCTTGCATCTTCCACTGCCAGTATTTAAGTCGTATTTATTCGTCATCACAAACGATCTAAGCAATACACTGTTTGCAGGATACGTTTGTTATCGATTGTTCTTCTCGCACTTACGGGCACCCTTATCGATGGCAAAGAAACTATGTAGACAAACGCGGTCGAACTTTGCACTCAAGTACAAACCAAAATTATGTACTTGGTATGCAAAGATTCGATTGCGAAAATACTCAGCAGTGTTCAGCATTTCATACCCCTTTTGATACGAGAGAATTTTCATTTTGATTGAGAAGAAATTTTTGCACGTTGATTGGCGTAACGCAAATTAAATTTGGAAGTTGAAATTTAGTGGAATTTTTTAAAATAATTTGAAACTTAAGTCACTGTGTCATATAAGGGTTGATATAAATTTTGATAACACAGAATTTTAGTTAAAATTAATATTCAAGCTAGCTCCACTATTAATTAATATAATTTAAAAAATTTGAAATTTCTTGAAATAGAATTTGAAATTTAAAAAATTATTAATTGTTACAAATTTCAAAATTGAGTATTCTAAATGACTTCAATTATGTCAATCAACGTGTTAACCTAAAGGACCAACATTCAATTTTCTACCCCAGCAAAATTAATTTCGACAAAATAACGAGTAGCGAATTTCCAAAAAACAGTATCGAAAGGGGATCGATCGAAGAGAACGATATCTTACTATGTATTTAGATTACGTTAGATCATTAGTTTACTTTAGTTACTGTACCAGCATTGCGATTAATAATTTTGTATAACGTTTATTTCTACTTTTTTAACCCTAAAATTACGTTTCGCTGTTTGTATACTCGTTTTGAGCGACGATATTTTTTAACGAGAAAAAAGGGACAATGTAGAGTCGATTGTGTCACATTTTATCGTTTTCTCTTTGTATGCCGTAGCAAATTAATAGGTGTACCATAAATAGCGTATTTTAACGAGTTTCATAGTATTAATAGTAAGATAAGTTCGGCTGTCGCGTTGCGTTTATGAAAGAATTTGTCGGTAATTTTTCGTTACATAGATATGGATTATTGGACGTTCACGCGTTGCTTATCAATCGTTTCTGTTATTTTGCAACCGTACTTTTTTTTTTAATTAAATTTTGCGAATGGCAAGCAACGCGGTGAGCTCGTCTGTAAAATTGGTATTACAGGAACAGACATATTTGAGCTTTCAGAATTTTTCTTTAAAGTGAAGGAATTTTTCTTTAAAATGAAGCAATTGTAATTAGGAAATACACTGTATGGCATTGATTAATAAATAGGTAACAAGAGTGAAATAAATAAATTTCAAGAGTGAAATAGGTTTCAAGAGTGATGTTAAACTTGAAAGAATTTATGTAATAGGCTTGAGGGATGTTCAAACTACTTCAAAGAATTTATGTAATGAATAAAAGTAAGGCAATTAATAAAAGAATCAGAGTGGTTCAATTTTGGAGTCCAAATAATTTTTATTGGGAAGATTAGAAACTTCAGTTGAATGAATTTTTAAATGAATTCATTTATTAATTTTTATTGAGATCAAATAGACATGTTCAATAATAAAATTGGACATAAATTGACAGCAAGTTGTAACAAAAATTAGAGGTCAATTTTGAGAGAAATATTAAATTTGTCAAACTTTAAAATTCAAGTTTAACTTGCTTTTATTAAAAAATTATAATGTTGTGTTATTTTATTAAATTAAAAAAATAGTAAGTAAAAAAGGAGGTTAAAAAAATGATATCTATGGAGAATTCCAACAAAAAATTCAAATTTAGTAGAATATTTAAATAATGATAGTTTCTAACCTAACTTATTAAAATAATTATTCAATTCCTTTTCTATTAAAAAAATTTCATATTATATTACTCTATCAAGTTAAAAGTAACATATTGAATAAATAATTGGTTAAAAATTTAGTCACAGTCCACCCTTAAATTATGCTCTTAAATTATAATATTGTACCCCAAAATTACCCCTAAATTATCACTAAAAAAATATTAGTATTTAAAATTAAATAATTACCCAACTTCTGTTTATTAAAAGACCTCTACTACATCACAGTAATAAATAAAAAATTCATCACACAGAAAATTAATTAAAAATTGAATTACTACCCCAATATTAATATTTAACAAATTCTAATTTGATCACTTGAAATAATTGCCCAACTTCTATTTATTACAAGTCTCCTACTATATTATACTAATAAATAAAAAATTTGTCACACAGAAAATTAATGAAAAATTGAATCACCACCCCAATAATAATATTTTACCAATTTTAAATTTAAATTTTCAAATTAATAATAAACACAGTCCACCCTTAAATTGCACTCCTAAATTATAATATTACATCTTCAAAATTACCCCTAAATTACCACCCTAAGAAAATATTAGTTTCTGAGAATAATTGTCCAGCTTCTGTCTATTACAAGAAAGAGAAATTGAATCACAACAACCCCAATAAATATTATTTATTAAATTCTAAATTGATCAAACTTAAAACAATTGCCTAACTTCTGCCTATTACAAGTCTCCCACCACATCACACTGATAAATAAAAAATTCATCACACAGAAAGAAAAATTGAGTCACAACAACCCCAATATTAATATTCATCAAATTTTAAATATATCAAACTTGCAATAATTGCCTAACTTCTGTCTATTACAAATCTCCTATCACATCAGACTAATAAACACCCAAATATATCATACAGGAAGAAAAATTGAATCACAACACCCCCAATATTAAAATTCACCAAATCTTAAATTAATCAAACTTGAATACCAACGAGTTGAAAACAGTGTCTCCGAACATAGTAAAAATTCTGAAAGCTCCCATCGAGAAAAGAGAACGCAATAACCGCGTCTGAAACCTGTATTAACACCTCCGATTACACGAAGGAAGAGGGTCGTAGTCATTACCGTTCGACCAAAAGAGTCTCCCGAGAATCGTAATTCGGGACAAGCGAAAGAGACGCGAGAAACGAAGAAAAAGAGCGAGAGAGGTTTTTTCTACGAAGCTTACGTCTATACTGGACAATAATGTTGATCGAGGGGAAGAGAAATAAAAAGGAAAAAAAGAGAGAACGTACGGTTTGAGGATAGTGTTCGAGACTTGTGATTGCTCGAAATTCCTACGAGTTATATTTGTACATTTTACTTTATGAAGAAAAACCATTTAATATATTTGACGGAAAGAAAAATCGGTGGACTTAAGGATAGCGCATGCGACTGAAGTATACCAGTTTTAAGAGTCTTACGCTTCAAGTGTAGCAAATGCTTTCGTTCTCGGACCAGCCTACAAGTGTATTTCGTCGAGAATGATGACGACGATGAAGGGACGCGTCGCGATGTGGCGTCAGGTAATGCAAAAAGCATTTGTTTCGTCGACTCAACTCACTGCCTAACTGTAAACTGCGTAATAAATATAATTATTATTGTTCCTTCTCGATATGGTTGTTTTTTTGTGGTCACCTGTCCTTTTGTTGATTGAGGGGAGAGAAGTTGGGGAGAGGGTGATTTTAAGGGGTGATTTTTGGGAGTAATATTAGGGAGTGATGTTAAGGGTAGAGTAGTTTGGGGATGTTTTGGAGGAGGTAGGTGGAATTGGGAGATACAGGGAGGGGAGATGGGAATTTGGGGAATTAGGTATTTGGGGATTTAGGAATTTGGGGATTTGGGGAATTAGGGGATTGGGAATTTGAGAAAATGGAAATTAGGGGCTTAGGAATTCGAGAACTTGGGAATTTGGGGATTTGGGAATTTAGGGATTGGGGAATTGGGGGATTGGGGGATTGGGGAATTAGGGGATTGGAGAATTAGGGGATTGGGGAATTAGGGGATTGGGGAATTAGGGGATTGGGAATTTGAGAACATGGAAATTAGGGGCTTAGGAATTCGAGAACTTGGGAATTTGGAGATTTGGGAATTTGGGAAAATGGAAATTAGGGGCTTAGGAATTCGAGAATTTGGGAATTTGGGGATTGGAGAATTAGGGGATTGGGAATTTGGGAAAATGGAAATTAGGGGCTTAGGAATTCGAGAACTTGGGAATTTGGAGATTTGGGAATTTAGGGATTGGGGAATTGGGGGATTGGGGGATTGGGGAATTAAATTAGGGAATTAGCAAGTTAGGGAATTATCGAGTCAGGGAATTAGGGTTCAGGTTTTGAAGAATTGTTAATGTTTTTCGAATGAGAAAATTAATTGCTTTTGAAGAATGAAGATTTGATAGAATTAGGTTCTGGCATTTGATGGAATTAAGTTTGATAGAATTAAAGATTTAAGATTTGATAGAATTAGGTTAGGTTAGGTTGATACAGATTAGGTTAGATTAAGTCACATTTAACATGGAGGTGTTTCACAAATTTTTATTTTATGAACTAAACTAAATGTGGATTTTTGCAAATAGATTCAAAGTTTTATAAATAGGTTCAGTAATTTTATTTATGATGATATTCTCTGTTAAATAAGAGCAAGATTTGGAAGATTAAAATTCTTGAGGTTTATCTATATGTTGTTGTTTATAACATGCAAATTGTTGGTATCAATTCTAATGTGTCGGCAAGTTTTAATTAAAAGCTAACACACAATCGTTAATCACTCAGAGTTGATTATGGAGCCCAGAATTCGCATTTAGCGAACGCTTAACAAACGGCTCGAAATCATTACGCGATAATTATTGCTAAAACGTTTGACCCAAATATGTTGCTCTTAGCTGGTGGTCGCGAATTTTTTATATTTTAACGGCGATATTATCGATGCTGCCAACAATTATAATTAACGTTATTTACATTGATATTCATTAATGATATTTTTCTTTAAATAAACATAACCCAGATTTCGCCATAAAAATTATCCACTAAAAAGTTTACCAATAACTATCCCTAAATGTCTAAATGTTTTTCATTCTCCCATCACAAATAGCACACCTGAAAATAAAAATGCATACAAAACGTCGAAGAACAGACAAATCATACTGAAAGATATTTCACAGCAGACAAGCGTCGATTAAACGAATAATTTATTCTTCCGATGTTTTTATGTATGTTAAACACAACAAAAAAACTGTATGTACGTGCTCGCGTAACCGAATGTTGCATAATTATTAAATGCAAGACACATTCATAGTGTAAGCAGAAAATGCGGAGACAAGGTTGCCGTAATAAAATGGTCGACAGGAATTTAAAGTAGATTGCAACAAAAGAGCACGTGAGAATTGCATCAACTGGTTAAACAGGATTTTAGTCAAAAGCTATTAAAAATTGTCTAACTGGAATTTCTTGCGGTTACGTTGAAGTGCGGGGAATAGTACGAGGAAATTGAGTTTAATAAAGACGTATCTTGTTGCTCTTCGTAATGGAAAGAAAATGTGGTGGACGAAATTATATTCATTTTATTAAAAAATTGAGGTTCTGGTTGGAGTAGGTTAAATACAATATTCTTGCAACAGTATATTTTTATTAAAACTTTTGGTTAAGATTTGAAAGCAAAATTTTTAGTTTGTAATTTGATATTAAATTTAGACATTTCTAGGTTTGTAGATGTTTATGAGTATTTAAAATAGAGTTTTTTAATTTTGGAGTTAGTATATTGTTTAGAGATTTGTTAATTTGCAAAATTGGGAATTTGCAAGCGTGATCATGACTATAATCAACCTGTTAAATGACCTGGACAACATTTATGACAGTGATCATTCAGATAGTTGTCTCTTTCTATCAAATTCTCTCAAATCTTCAAACCAAATAATTTTCTCGTTTGAAAAATTTTCAGTCTTTCAAAAAATGACTACGATCAACTTGTTAAATGACCTTGACAAAATTTATGACAAAATGGCGATCATTCAGATTGTGAAAGATATTAAATGAAATGACGAATTTCTCAGCTAGCTTTACAATAAAGAATTACAAAAAAAAAAACAATATTTCAGATTATGAAAGACGTCGAATGAAATAATAAATTAGACAGCTAGCTTTACAATAAAGAAGTATAAAAAAAAATAATGTAGAGGATGAGTATGTGATCTCGTTGATCAAGAAAAATTTCTTGGTAACCAATTGCCCGGTGTTTCGTAAAGGAACTAGCCAGTTAACCGGACACTTCCGAGACACCTTCTACAGAACTAGACCTCGTGATAGTACCCTCAATTGATACGCGGTTGGCTGCGTGGGTGGAGGAAAAGCCTGTACAGGCTCGTAGAATCAACTAATGTGTCAGTCGTAAGCGCGATTCCGTCGCGCCTCGTGCTTCCACAGCGATATCACTAAATATTACTAGAACTTCTTCCTCGACGTCTCTCAATTTATTTTTTAACCTTTCGCAAATCGTACGTTGCCCATCGCGAGTGAATGAAGGACTTTTTTTTTGCTTTTTCGAAAAATGTGCTTGTGGTGATTTTCGGTGAGCGTTTGAGAACTATGTTCGCAAAGTGTAAGTAATTAATTTTTTAACGTCGGGTTTGCTGGGTTTGTAGAAATTAGTGTGGATAGTTTAGACGGTGATGAAAGGAAGTAGGTGATTTAGTTAGCGGATGTGACCGTATCGAAGAAAATGACAGCGGCTGAAATTTGGTTGAACCCCTGTTGATCGTTGCAATTTTTCTTTAGCGCTGTAAGTTTATTGTTATGCTGTTTATGGTTGAATGCAGATCAAGGTCATCTCTTTGTGTAGCGTACTTGTAAAGCACGATGAGGATTTTTTCTTTAAAATTGGGGCTTTTGAGTAACGAGTGCTCTTGGTACGTTGGGTACATTCAATTTTTGTCGTACTTTATCGTAATTGTTAAATTTAGAGAATTAGTTAAATGCAGTTAAAAGACAAAATCGGAATGTGGTTAAATAATTGAAGTTTGAGTTTATAATAATTTAATGGTGACTGAAGAATTAAATGATAGAATGTTTATTTGGGAGATTTGATTTTGATGTTCATGTTAATTCATTTAATTGAAAAGTATGTGAGTGAAGTCTTTCAATTTTAGTTTAAGTAATTTCTCTTTAATTATCAAGTATTTCTAATTTATTACATATAATTGAATAAATAAATATCTCAATTTTAGTCCAAGTAATTGACTTTCAATTCTGAAACAAATTCTAATTAAACTCTTCATAAATCACTATAATTAAACAATAAAATAATTGAATTTTAATGTGCAAAAAACACAAACTTAATTTTGAAATAAATTTTGCCTTATAAAAATATATAAAAATGACTACGATTGACTAATAAAGTGTAACCTTAATTTAAGTAATTGCATTTTGCTTTAAATAATTAAATTTAAATTATCAAATAATATTTGTCAAATAAAAAAAAATACTTGACTAAATAATTGAATAAATACTTAACTGAAAAATTGACTAAATAACTAAATAAATATTTCACTGAAAAATTGACTAAATAATTGAATAAATACTTCACTAAAAAATTGACTAAATATTGACTAAATACTTGACTAAATACTTGACTAAATTATTGACTAAATTTTTTACTGAAAAATTGACTAAATAATCGAATAAATATTTGACTAAATAATTAACTAAATAATTGAATAAATAATCGCCTAAGTAATCGTCGAAATAATTGGTTAAAAGATTGCCTAAATAATTTCCTAAATAATTGCCTAAATAATTTCCTAAATAATTGCCTAAATAATTTCCGAAATAATTGCCTAAATAATTTCCTAAATAATTGCCTAAATAATTTCCTAAATAATTGCCTAAATAATTTCCTAAATAATTTCCTAAATAATTGCCTAAATAATTGCCTAAATAATTGTCTAAATAATTTCCTAAATAATTGCCTAAATAATTTTCTAAATAATTTCCTAAAGAATTTCCTAAATAATTGCCTAAATAATTTCCTAAATAATTTCCTAAATAATTTCCTAAATAATCGACTAAATCCTCCCCTAAATAATCACCCAAATAATCAAACAAACAAACACCAAACAATAATAGAAATTCATTTAAAAATGACAAGCGAACACAAAGACAAAGCAGCATTTTTAAAGCATGACGCATCGCGTCGGGTCCGAGTGACCCCAGTGACTCGAGTGCACGGCGATTATTAGACGCGGCAATTACAAGGTCGTCCTTAAAGATTCAATTCCGTTAATGGAGCATGCACGGGGGAAAAATCTTCACGTCCTGTTTCGAACGCTGACTTTTCACACCGACACGTTTCTCATCTTTAATCCGAGCATTTAGAAAACTGTATATGTACACAACGAATTATTACACACACGCTAAACTCTTATTCACTTAAACGAACCATCGTGTGTATAGTTACATCAGCCTCTTTCGCGTTATCATACTATAAAAAGAATTTTTGTATCTCGTCGACCTTAACACTTTCATTTTTAATTATACTTGTTTGAAAAATATAAATTTTATTTTATTTTGGGTGCAAAATTTATAATCATTGATGTTTTATAATTCTTGAGATTCAATTTTATTCTACTTTTATTTTAGGATTTTATTTGTAAATTTTGCAACCCTTGTTTTTATTTTATTTTTAATTATATGCAATGTTAGAAGAAGTTTAAGAACTTTATTTTTATCTTGATTCTATGTCTTTATTGTAATTTTAGAAACCTTATTTTTAATTTAATTTTAATGACTTTATATTAAAGTATTATTTATAAATTCTTGCAACCCTTGTTTTTATTTTATTTTCAATTATGTACATTGTTAGAAAAATTTTTAAATATTTATTTTTAGCTTGATTCTATGTCTTCATTGTAATTTTACAAACTTCATTTTTCTTTTAATTTTAACGACCCTTAATATTAAAATATTATTCAAGAATTTTACAAGTCTCATTAAAATCTTAATTTCACAAATCCCATTTCTATTTCAATTTTATATTTTACTTTCACAAACAGTAATTTTAAAATTTTTACTTCAACTTCACAACCCCTATTTTTATTATCTAAACTTTACGACCCTTTTCATTATAATTTCAAGGCCTCAAACTCTTATTTTTAAACTCGCCCCTTATTACTATCTTAAGCCTACATTTTACTTTAATTCTACAGGCTTTCATTTTTCACTTATGACGTTAAATTGCATTAAACGATCAATCAAAAAAAAGTTAAAATGATGTATCAGAATGTCGAAGAAAGCAGATAAGAACCATAGAAATAAGAAATCAGTAAGTTTAATGTATCCATATCACGCAGAGGTAGTGAACGAATCTCGGTTCCGAGAATAAAAAAAGGAATCCATTACTCATAATCCGTCTTCACCTTAGAGATAATTTTATCCGAGAAAAGGGTCCGTTGAGTGACCGGAAATCACGTAGGATGCTACATCGATCCTATCCTTTTCAAGGGAAACGATTCAATTTACATAAAAGGAAGTTTATCTCCTAGAAACAAGACGCTGCGTTCGGCTTGCATACGAATTTACCATAAGTATCGTATTTCGACACGGATGGATTCTGTTATATGAAATCTTTGTAAACGGTGGCTAGCTATTGTTCGGCTAGCTAAGTGAATTCCACGTAAACGGTGTATAGTTCATTTAGATGTGGATGACTATTACGTGATGTGGTTATTCAATGGAATTTTGAGGAGATTTTTATTGGGATAGAGTTTTGGAAATTTGGGATTTGGGGAATTTGGAATTTTGGGAGATGGGAATTTGGGGAGATGGAAATTTGAGGGATTTGGATTTTGGGGAGATGGGAATTTGGGGAATTTGGAATTTGGGGAGATAGGAATTTGGGAAATTTGGAATTTGGGGAGATGGGAATTTGGGGAATTTGGAATTTGGGAAATTTGGAATTTGGGGAGATGGGAATTTGGGAAATTTGGAATCTAGGAAATTTGGAATTTGGAAAATTTGGAATTTTTGAACATCTAGAATTCTCATTTGGCAAATTTTTATTTAGGTAATTTGTTGAATCAGAGACTTTGTTAAACAAAAATTTACAATGCAACTCTTAACTGCAACATTGTAGCACAATACACTGAATAGACGAATCAGGTTACTTATTTTGTAGCAACAAGGTAGGACACTCTTCACAGGCACTCCTTTCGACTGTGGAAAATCGATATATCGAGCAAACCTGGCCGAGTGGGTCATTGTAGTGGCCAGGTTTTAATGGGAAGTCTCGAGGAAAAAAAAAGAAGAATACTTGCTCTTCCATTTACGTAATGAGCAATCAAATTTCATATCATTAATTCATACTCCTCCTACCTTTCTTCCTAATTATTCATTGCCAGTTAAATACTACTAACTTGCTGCGGATAAAAGACCATTTAAGAAACGGGGATCTGAATTATATATTGGGACAAATATTAGACTTCTCGTTCTTTACAATTTTTAATTTTTAAGTCTTTCACGTTTTGTGTTTTAGATATTTGTGTTATAAAATTGTAATTTAACAAAATTTTTAAATTTCAAATTCCCCAAGTTCCAAATTCTCCAAATTCCAAATTCCCCAAATTCCAAATTCCCCAAATTTCCATCTCCCCAAATTCCCATCTCCCCAAATTCCAAATTCCCCAAATTCCAAATTCCCCAAATCCCAAATTCCCCAAATTCCCATCTCCCCAAATTCCAAATTCCCCAAATCCCAAATTCCCATCTCCCTAAATTCCCATCTCCCCAAATTCCAAATTCCCCAAATCCCAAATTCCCCAAATTCCAAATTCCCCAAATTCCAAATTCCCCAAATTCCAAATTCCCCAAATTCCAAATTCCCCAAATTCCAAATTCCCCAAATTCCAAATTCCCCAAATTCCAAATTCCCCAAATTCCAAATTCCCCAAATTCAAATCCCAAATCCCAAATTCCCCGAATCCCAAATTCCTCAAATCCCAAATCCCCCAAATCCCAAGTTCCCCAAATCCCAAATTCCCCAAATCCCAAACCCAACTCTTAAGTACCCAACCCCAACAAACACACCACAACAAAACCCAACCAAACCTCAAAAACCACACTTAAAAACAGACTTATCAACCTTGTTCCAATAATCGCACTCAGAAGTTTCTCCAATTTTCGCTCGAACAGTCGAACAGTGATATGTGCAGAAGATTATGCGAAAACGTGTCGATGGTGACGGTGATCGCAATGAAAGTCAATAAACTGTGATGGATAAGAGAGAGTAACAGTCGGAGTGGTATTAATAAATTAGTGTCTAGTTGCTACAAGCAACGACAGTGCAAACGGCAACAGTAGCATCAACAGAAGCCGAAGAAATAAAAAATTGAAGACACGAAAGCGGTCACGATGACGGGGACCATGATGGACGGCCATAAACACTGGATTCTTTCTTTCGTGAGCTGTCGGAGAATTTAACACTCTGAAGGTTGGATTTATTTTTATTTTAGATGATGCTTGGAAACTTTCTAACACTATTAGAATTTATTTATAAGAGAAATTACAGTTATAAGCTGAAATTATGGTTATTAGATGAAAAATAGTGAAGAGAAAATGTTTTGATGTTGTGGATGCTTTTGGACGTTCGTTAAATGACTGCTATTTAAGTGATTTTATTTTTAATTCAAATTTTTAGTTGAAATTTAACTTTAAGAGATTGGAAGTTAATTTTTAAGGTTTAGTTTGAGGAAAGTTGAGGTTTAAGCAGAAAATATTCTGACATTGTGGAAGCTTTTGGACGCTCATTAAATGACCGCTATTTAAGTGATTTTTCTTTCAAATCAAATTTTGTATTAAAGTTTAACTGTAAGAGATTACAAGTTAATTTTTTAGGTTTAGTCTGAGGAAAGTTAATGTTTAAATCTTCGTTTAAGGAAGGTTAAAGTAAAATTAAGAATTGAAAGTATTTGACTATTTAGTAAATGAAGAACTATTTTTAGAATTGTGGTTTGTGGAATGTTGACATTTTACAGAAACTTGAATCGAAAACCATTTTATAATCGAGGAAGGATGGTAGCTGGTATTCGAGAGATTTAACGTTTAACCTAACTGAACCCACATATGAGTAATATGACACTTATGGTATTAAAGAATAAACTTAATCAAGTGTTAGGAATACCCATATATCATCCCGTTAGTAACATTATCGCTCGTCTTGAATACGCGATGAATATTCGAGGATTTGAACTTCAAACACTCCGAATATTTCCGTATTCCATTTGCGATCATATAGGAAGTCCTATTTTAAAGTCAAATACTTAAATATTAGAATCATGATAAAATTTTTGAAACTCTTCAAATATTTCAGCCTTTGAATTATAATAAAATATTTAATCTGACACTAAATTCAAACACTACAATTATTTGAGTCTTTAAATTATCACAAAATATTTGACATTCAGACTTCAATAAAATTTTTGAATTAAAAAAACAAAAAAGCTTGAAACATTTCGAAAAATTTATAAATTTTGATACATTTGTATTATGAAAATTTTAAATACGAAAATTTATAAATGTTGATACATTTATATCATAAAAATTTTAATTATGAAAATGTATAAATGTTGATATATTTGTCATAAAAATGTTAAATATGAAAATTTATAAATGTTGATACATTTATATCATCAAAATTTCAAACATAAAAATTTATAAATATTGATGTATTTATAAATCTATCAAACACTCAAAAGTAATGAAAAGTTGAAGTATTTAAAGTACCGTTAAATGACCGCTAGATAGCCCTCAAACATCCATTGCAACAGAAACCTCGAATGCTAAAATCCTCTTGAAAATTCCAACCCAGTCCACGCGATCTAATCACGAGATCATGCAAATGACCGACAAGTTCAACAATCCCAGCTCTGAATTCCGTATCAGATCATCGCAAGAGCGAATTCGAAGCGAATCGTGTAGAGAATCGGTGACCGGGTGGCAATCGTGTACGAGGATGAAGGCAGCGTAGAAAAGGGTCGTTTGCGACCGTGGAGGAGAGAAGAAGGTGGTTGAAGACACAACGAGAGAATCGCGCAAAGAAGAGGAGGAGACGTGACGTGACGTGACGGTGCATGGCGGCGTGTGCACACGCGTGTCGCTCGTGTGGGATCGGATTATCGTTGTGTGCCAGTGCGAAAGAAGACAATTGACTCGTAGCCGCCGCCGTCGTGCTTGCCGGGGGCCTTCTGACGTCACATCCTGTCCTCTTGGGCTAGTCGCGATCTCGTTTGGACCACGGCACATCAAGGTACGCAGATTCGTGCGTCCTCAATGTTTAGGACGCACAAACCGATGTTACCTCGTTGCTTAACGACGATCAACAACCCTTCATTTTTTATTTTATCTTATTTCATTAGTTATCTTACAAAATTTTATTTCATTTTTGCTGGGTTCTTGATGAAGATTTTTTTATTCTATTGCGATTTGGTATAAGTTCGTGATGGATTTATGGAGTTTGTGGAATCTGATTTTTGGTAAAAATATTTTTTGACGGGTGTTCAATTTTATAGTTGAATATTGCATGTAAAAGAAATATTGATTTTAGTAAATTTTGTGGTGTAGTAGTTTGTAGGTTTTCGTGGTAAATTTTTAGGAAGCTTCTTCTCTTGTTTTGGTGTGATTTGATATAAGTTTATAGCAAATGACCCTTCATTTTTATATTTAAGTATACATATATGGGAGAAATATTAATTTTAGCAAATTTTATGGCTTGATAGTAAATTTTCAACAAGGTTCTTCTTTTGTTTTATTGTGATTTGATATAAGTTCATAGTAGACGACCCTTCATTTTCATACTTAAATATACTCACATATGAGAAATATTAATTTTAGCAAAATTCATGGTTTGATAGTAAATTTTCAGCAAGGTACTTCTCTTGTTTTATTGTGATTTGATATAAGTTCACAGTAAGTGACCCTTCATTTTTATATTTAAATATACATGTATATGAGAAATATTAATTTTAGTAAATTTTATGACTTGATGTTAAACTCTCAAAAAGGTTCTTCTCTTGTTCTATCATGATTTGGTATAAGTTAATAGACTTGTAATTAAGGAAGTTTCTCTCGAAATCTGACAGATTTTCAGAAAAATATTTTACTGGACAACCCTCCAATTTTATCCTCAAATATTATATACTTCAAAAATATTAATTTCCTCAAATTTTATGATTCAGTTCTGACAAGCTTTCCTCCATTGCTCCACTATGATTTGATATAAGTGTCCTATAAAGTAAATTTGTACTGAAGATTGTTTTAACGAGATTTTAACAGACTTTTATTAAAAATATTTTCCCCCAACTCTTCATTTTCCAACACAACTATCATACACATATAAAAAATATTAATTTTATCAAATTAGTCCGGTGACCCTTAAATCAACACCTGAGATTTCCACGAAACATTTCTCTCCTCTTCTTCCATCACTCCTTATCTCATCATACCATGCATTAATTATTCTCTGCAATACTTTATTAAATTTTATCATTTCTGATAAACCAAAGCACTATCGTCGACAATCACCCATCGTATAATTGATTTAATTGATTTAATAAACGTAACAAAATTGATCACATTGGTCTGCATTAAGGAATAATTGAATCTGGTTAAGGTTGACCCTTGTAGATCCATGTTTTTATAGTTACACGAAGGGTTCTCGAGTGAATTTTTCATGTGCTGTATACCACTTCATTTTTCATTTGCTCTGCACAATTTAAATTTTTATGTTAGATACACAATTCATATTTTCATGTAAGGCATACAAAATTTCAAATTTTATGTAGGATATACAATTTTGAATTTTTATGTAGAATATACAATTTTAGATTTTCATGTAGGATACACAATTTCAATTTTTATGTAAGGTACACAATTTCAATTTTTATTTAAGGCACACTATTTTAATTTTTGTGTAGGATACACAATTTTAATTTTCATGTAGAATACACAATTTTTATTTTTATGTAGGATACACAATTTTAATTTTTATTTAAGGTACACAATTTTAATTTTTATGTAGGATACACAATTTTAATTTTTATGTAGAATGCACAATTTTAATTTTCATGTAAGATATAGAATTTCAATTTTCATGTAGGATACACAATTTTAATTTTCATGTAAAATACACAATTTTAATTTTCATGTAGGATACACAATTTTAATTTCCAAGTATTTATTTATTTATAAATTTATTAGGAGATGAAGCAAGTTTAAGTAGTAAAATTTTTTATCACTCACCAAAATTTCATTATTTAATCAACACTAAACTCGTACCTTAACATCTTCTTTAAATAAACTTCACTCTCCAGCACCACAGCTCTTTCACTCAAAATTCAAACAATTTTGAGAAACACACACTGAAACTCCAAATATTATACATATAAATATTGCATACTCAACCAATTCCACATAAAATATTAAAAAAATTGCACGACACAAAATTTTAGCAAAAAAACAAATTGAATAACTAAATAATTGAAATTTGCATTACAGTCCCAAAATAATTGAAATAAAAATTACTTCAGTATATTATAAAGATTAAAGTATATTGATATCGCCTTTAGGGAAACAAGAACGATGAGCGACCACAAAAAATGGATCTTCAAGATCCTCTTCTGGATGAATATCTACACAACGATTTTAGCAAACTTAACGGACTCCTCAGAAATCGATCTGTCCGATGAAATGGATTTATTTACCACCACGAAGAGAACGTTTCCCGACAGGTGTCTCGTTAAAACTGAACCAGGCCCGTGCAAACAGTACGTTCACAAGTGGTGGTTCAACAAGACTGAAGGAAAATGTAGAACTTTTCCTTACGGTGGCTGTCTGGGAAACGAGAATCGTTTCAACTCGGAAGCTGAGTGTCTTCATTATTGCGTGGGTGGTCCGGAACGTAAGGAACTTTCATTATTTCTACATAATTAATCAAAGCTTTCGTATCAATGAGTAAAAGGTTCTGTTAAGAATCTACTAACTGAAATTCAAGTCGGAATGAAGTTGGAAAGAGTTATTAATTCGTGGAATAATATTGTGGAGTTGCATAATTATTTTTTTAAAATGTACTTAGAAAATAATTGATAAAATAGAACTATGTAAAATGGGACTAAATAATAGATAGAAAAATTGAGAAATTCTTGAAAAATTATGAAAAGTTAATTATGTGATAAATTATGCATTCAATCAGTAAAATAAAATTATCTTATCTGTAAATATTTTTATAAAATTAAAACTGAGACATACAAATGAGAGACATAGTAATATAAATTAATATTCATAAATGTATAAAAATATATTTATAAATCTTCTGTCATATCTGACAATTTTATAAATTAGTAATATAAATTGCTTTTTTATAAATATATAAAAATATATTTGTAAATCTTCTGTCATATCTGATAATTTTATTTTAAATTTATAAGCAAATGAAACATATTTCATCTTTCAAATTAATGTCTGTTCTTCCATGACTCATAGCTCCTCTTCTGAAAGAGATTTTATTTTGTTCAAATAAATAATTTGGATTGTATAGAATATTGTAGCGATAGTTGACAAGTATGCGGTTGTTTTCAGATACTTTGCCACCATATTTAGTGACAAAGGGAAGCGTATTTGTGACGAGCACAGCAACCACAAACACACTGCCTGCAACCACCGCCATTACGCCACGGCCGACGTTCGCGCCGCCTGAACCAACAAAACCACCTGTGCCAAAGTACAAAAGAGGAAAGGTAAATCAATTTTCTCTAATTTTGAAGTATACAACGACTCAAAGTCGCGTGATCAATCTTGTTATAACTAATTGACAGCGTCTTCTGCTTTCTGAAAGTTTAATTTTCATATTGACAATTCTAACGAAAGATTGCAGTGTCTATTTTTAGTAAAAAAATTGTTGACTTGTAACAAATAAAAAATGCATCTTTTAAACTGTTACAATAATAAGCAAATTATTTTAGAAAATTTACAAAAGAATGATGATTGAGGAATTTATAAAGAATTTTTGTATTAAATTAAATAACTTAATTATGACACAAATTACAACTTGAAGTGTAATTAATTTTATTGTGGTCTCAGTACAAAAATAATTGAAGAATTATTTCAGGAGCTAACCTTTATGGAGTCAGGGTATGAAAAGACCTTTATGTTCGCGCAGAGCAACACGTTCATTCAGCTTGATGGTAGTGGTATCAAACCGTTTCAACTTAGGTTAGTATTTCGCTATATTGCAGATAACGTCATGCAAATTTCTTAATGACTTTACTTCTTATTAACTTTCATGTTAAATCAAATCTTGTCTGAAACTGCTATCTCAATTTAACAATTAAAATTCCTGTGTGACAATGAGTCTTATAATTGAAATTTCTGTCTGAGTCTAATAATTGAAATTCCTGTTTGAATTTAATAATTGAAATTTCTGTCTGAGTCTGATTAATTGAAAATCCTGTTTGAATTTAATAATTGAAATTCCTGTCTGAGTCTGATTAATTGAAAATCCTGTTAGAATTTAATAATTGAAAATCCTGTTTGAGTCTGATAATTGAAAATCCTGTCTGAGTCTAATAATTGAAAATCTTGTCTAATACTAGTAATTGAAATTTTTATTTAATTCTAATAATATAAATTTTTGTCTGATTTTAGTAATTAAAATTGATGTCTAATTGCAATAATTGAAATTCCTGTCTGAGTCTAATAATTGAAATTCCTGTTTCAATTTAATAATTGAAATTTCTGTCTGAGTCTGAATAATTGAAAATCCTGTTTGAATTTAATAATTGAAATTCCTGTCTGAGTCTAATAATTGAAAATCTTGTCTGAGTTTAATAATTGAAATTTTTATCTGATTCTAATAATTGAAAATCACATCTGAACCTGATAATAAAAAATTATGTCTGAGACTGATTATTGAAAATCAAGTCTGAGACTGATAATTAAAAATCAAGTCTGAGACTTATAATTGAAAATCAAGTCTGAGACTTTTAATTGAAAATCAAGTCTGAAACTAATAATTAACAATGAAGTCTGAGACTGATAATTAAAAATCATTTATAAATGTTTATAAATAATTGAAAATTGAAAATTAACAGGCTATGTCGTGAAATATCCTTCAAATTCCGAACAAAATTACCGCACGGTCTGCTAGTATACCACAGCGTGAAGGATCGCCCAGAAAGTTTAGACCCGTACGCATTATACGTGATCGTCGAAAAAGGGCAACTAAAAGTGGTCCACGTGTTCGGAAAACGGTCAACGAGTTTGACAGTCGGAGAAGGATTGAATAGAGACGAATGGCACAGTGTTCTGGTGAGAATTGACGTACATGGAGCGAAATTGATTGCTAGAGTGGATGATAAACAGGAAGAGACGACGTTGGAGGTTCTGGAACACGTGGTTAATTATGGGGTTTCTGAGGAACTTGCTTCTGTCGTCCTTATTGGAGGTAAAGTATAGCAAATTTATATTTTATTTAATTATTGAGGTAAAATTAATTCTAATGGTGCATGATGGATACATGTGGACACCATGATTTAATTTTTTTAAATTCTAAAATTCTACAAAATTAATTTTTTGAGGAGTTCTAAATTTTCTAGAGTTTTAAGGTTTCAGATTTTGTGAAGTTATAAGGTAGAAATTTTCCAAAGACCCCTATTTTCCAAAGTTCCCAAATTTCCAAAGTCCCAAATTTTCCAAGGTCCCAAATTTCCCAAAGACCCCAATTTGTCAAAGTCCCAAATTTTCCAAAGACCCCAATTTTCTAAAGTCCCAAATTTCCCAAAGACCCCAATTTTCCAAAGTCCCAAATTTCCCAAGGTCCCAAATTTCCCAAAGACCCCAATTTGTCAAAGTCTCAAATTTCCCAAAGACCCCAATTTTCCAAAGTCCCAAATTTCCCAAAGACTCCAATTTGTCAAAGTCCCAAATTTTCCAAAGACCCCAATTTGTCAAAGTCCCAAATATGGAAAGTTACAAATTCTTGCAGGTTTAAGTTCCGAGGAACGATTACATGGCGTGAAGTACATAATAGAATCCTTCGTGGGTTGCATAAGAGATATGGTTCTTAGTTCAGGGAAATCAGCGAGTGATTTATTGCCGATTCAGCCATTGATTGCGACGAAACACGAAAACGTGAAGGAAGGCTGCATAGATAAGTAAGATCATGAAACATCTATATCTCTTATTTGATACAAACATATTAATGGTAATACAAACATATTATGGTAATGCATGTGGTCATGTGACAAGTCTAATGTATTAATCATAATGTAGCAATGTAATAATTTAATACAGTAGTTACAATCTACCAATATAATCTAACACTCTAATATAATAATTTAAATCTAATGATATAATAGAGCAATCTAATGTATCAATACTATACAGTAATAATATTATACTATGGTAATTCTATATAGTAATACACAATAATACCTTAATGGTTGAACTTCACGACTTCAGGTGCAGAACGCGAGAGAACCTTTGCTTCATCTCGAACCAGTGTGTAAATCACTATAACAGTTTAACTTGCGACTGCTTCGGAACCAAGTATGAAGGCGAACGTTGTGACGTGTATAGTGAGTACTATCAATACAAGTTTCATTATGAGTTCCAGAAAAGATTCAACATTTAGAAGTAATTTTTACTTGATTAATTGAATGAACTTTTTGTAAAGTCTGTATCTTATTTCTTACAGCGGCCACCATTTTGACGTTGAGAGGATCCTCGTACGTTTCCTTCCGGGTTTACGATTGGAAGGACAGAGTCCACTCTTCGGTCAACAGGATAAGTCTTGCATTCAAGGTACATCTACCATAAATAGTAATTTTAATATCATGCAATATGAAAATGATGCAATGTAATATTTCCATAAGTCAGTGTATGTATTACTTCATTATAAATATTACCTTATAATATCATCCATCGTAAGTATTTTATTTTACTTTAAAATGGAATTTTCTTATACATGTGTTTTAAGGAAAAAGTGCTGACACAAAAATTGCATAAATGTCATAAAAAAATTGTCATCTCACAATAACTTTATTTAACTTCATTCAATAATATTTACCTTAAATATTAAATATATTTATTCCAGACAAAATGGGACGACTCAGCCCTGTTCTACGCATCCGGAGAAATCGATGGAACCCCCCATTACGTAGCAGCCTCCATAATGAATGGATCTGTCCACGTAGAATTAGATTTTGGACACAACTCGAAAATAGCCACTGTTCTCGGTGATTACGTGACTTCGAACCATTGGAACAATTTAACAATATTTCATAATGGATCTCTGGTTTTTGTGAGCTTGGACGACGAGATAAAGGTGTTGGAGGTTCCTGGAGAGAATTATAATATGATTATTGATCCGGAGATTTATATTGGGGGAGGACCGGAGCTGCACAAGAAGAAGGGACTTCTTTCGTATAATAACTTTGCAGGTGTAGTGTACAGTATAATACAGTATATTATATTATTTAGCAATAGTATTATAGAATGACAAAATGATATTTTATTTCTAGATCTTTAATTGCTAGATTTACAAATTTTTTAAGTGGCTAAATTTCAAAATTGTCACGTCCTCAGATTTTAGTGGAGAGAGTTTTGACGGGAATCTAACAAATTTTTAGTAAAAATATTTTTCCCCGAACCCTTCATTTTTATATACAAATATTATATACATAAGAAATGTTAATTTTATTAAATTCGATGACGATGATAAATTTTCGTAGCAACCTTCAACAAATTTTCAATTATATTACGCCACATCAGTTAATTCTTTGTTCATTTACAGGTTCCTTAAAGTATGTTTTCTTTAACGACAAATCAATCATCTACGAACTGAAGAGATCCAACCCCATGGTGCACTACATAGGGGTGCTAGAACCAGAGTACTACGAAGCGGACGTTGATGTGATTCCTATAACATACCCGTTTGCTGGCAGCCACATATGGTGGCCTATAGCTCGGACCGACTCTCTCAAATTGAATTTCGATTTCAAAAGCTCGAAACCTGTAGCTGTGGTTGCGTCGGGAGACGTGAAGAGCAATCATGGACTTGGGTATTGGGAGGTAATTTGATACTTTACATTTCATATGGGGAAAATTAAGGAAATTTAGGAAATTTAGGAAATTTGGGGATTTGGAGAGTTTAGGATTAAGGGAATTTGAGCAGTAGAGAGTGTAGGATCTTGAAATTTGGAATTTGGGGAATTAGGAATTTGAGGAAGGTGGAATTTGGAATTTGAGGATAGTGGAATTTGGGGAATTTGAAATTTGGGGAATTTGGAAGTTGGAGAAATTGGAACTTGGGGAAATTGGAACTTGGGGAAATTGGAATTTGGCGAATTTGGAACTTGGGGAACTTGGAACTTGGGGAATTTGGAACTAGAGGAACTTGGAACTTGGGGAAATTGGAATTTGGGGAATTTAGAACTTGGGGAATTTGGAATTTGGGGAATTTGGAACTAGAGGAACTTGGAACTTGGGGAAATTGGAATTTGAGGAATTTGGAACTAGGGGAACTTGGAACTTGGGGAAATTGGAACTTGGGGAAATTGGAACTTGGGGAAATTGGAATTTGGGGATGGTAGAATTTGGGAAATTTGGAACTTAGGGAAATTTGGAATCCGACGAACTTGGAACTTGGGAAATTTAGAATTTGGAAAATTTAGAATCTGAAAAACTTGATATTCTAACTCTATTACAATATATCTATTACAATCAAATTTCCCACCACTGACTCCCCTATCTTTCACCATCTTTCAATAAACTTCCTGAATTTGCAGCTACGTCTAGTGAACGACGAGATCCGATTTCAACTGATTCCCATATTAACCGAGAACGTCACCGTCTCAGCAGCCGTGAAATTCCCGTACAACACGTCTTGGCACGCAGTCGAATTGAATTACACGAAGGGCGAGTTGAGCATCCTCGTCGATTACAGGAACAAACAGAGCAAACTGTTCTCCATGACGTTCGAGTTAGGTGACAAAGTCATCATCGGAAGTGGCAAAAGCAACGCGGGTGAGTCACAAATTGCAACTGGTAGCAATTTTGCGAAGTCAGGAATGCAATTGGTACGTGGAGCTGAAATGAAAATACGTTTGAATTAGGTTTGGTTGGATGCATGAGAGAGATACAAGTGAACGACGAGAGGATAGAGCCCAGATACGTGGTCAACACCGAGAGAGTGATCGGAGAAGTGGCTTTGGACAACTGCCAGTTCGTTGATCCTTGTACTAGGCCGAACACGTGCGAACATGGGGGGAAATGCTCGGTGAAGGAGGACAGAATCACTTGCGATTGTACTGATACTGGTTATATTGGCAAGAATTGTCACTTTGGTGAGGGGACACTTTGTGATATGCAAATCCCTGTAATCCCCAAATCCTCAAGTTCTCAAACTTCCAAGTACTCAAACCCCCAAGTTTCCAAACCCTCAAGTTCCCAAACCCCCAAGTTTTCAAACCCTCAAGTTCCCAAACCCTCAAGCTCTCAAACCCCTAAGTTTTCAAACCCTCAAGTTTCCAAACCCCCAAGTTCCCAAACCCTCAAGCTCTCAAATCCTCAAATCCCCAAATCCTAAATCCCAAATTTTCCAACTTCTCCAAATCCCAAATTTTCCATCTGCTTCAAATTCCAAAACTCCCAACCTTGCATCTTCCCAAACACCAAACTACCCAACCTTGCAGCTCCCTATATCCGTAAGTCCCCACCTTCTCCACTTCCCAGCCTTGCATCTCCCTGTATCCCTAAGTCCCCACCTTCTCCACTTCCCAACCTTGCATCTCCCTATATTCCTAAATCCCTACCTTCTCCACTTCCCAACCTTGCATCTCCCTGTATCCCTAAATTCCCACCTTCTCCATGTTCCAAACTTCCATCTTCTAACTTCCTTTTAATCCTTCCCCCAACTTTCTCCTATATATTCCTCAAATTTCTCTAGTATCCCTAACTCCCACTATCAAATATCACAAAGCAAGTATCACAAATATATACAAAATGCTAAATTATTGTCTAGCTCAATACAGGAAGACATGTGAGGAGCTAGCACTGTTAGGATACACCCAAGACGACGTCTACAAAATCGATATTGACGGGAACGGAAGATTTCCACCAGCTCTAGTGAAATGCGAGTTCCAGTCCATTGAAGACTCCACCAAAACTATAGTGGAGCATAATTTGCCGTCTCAAGTAGACGTCAGATCTATAGCAGAGTCTGATTTTTCATTCAACATCAAGTATAGACAGTTTACGGCTGAGATGCTGCAGGAGCTGATCTCACACTCGTTGTATTGTAGCCAGTATGTCAAGTATGATTGCTATAAGGCACCTTTGGAACTGCATAGTGCTACGTGGTTTCTTAGCTCGAAAGGGACTACTGTGGATTATATTGGAAATGTTAATAGAGGATCCTGTCCTTGTGGAAGTGGGTATTAGTGGTTGTTAATGTTCTTTGGTTTCATCTTCTGTTTTGTATACGTCTTTGTCTTTGTTTGTTTTTTGTTATTCATTTTTGTGTTCAGATATATGTTTACATGTTTACATCTTCACATCTTCACATCTTCATATCGTCACAGCTTCACATCTTCATATCGTCACAGCTTCACATCTTCATATCGTCACAGCTTCGCTTCACATCTTCATATCGTCTTCATATCGTCACAGCTTCACATCTTCATATCGTCGCAGCTTCACATCTTCATATCAACACATTTTCACATCTTCAACTCCACCTTTATTTGTGTCTTTATCTTCATTCTTACCTTTACCTTCAATTTCATTTGTATCTTTATCTTCATCTTCATTCTCACTTTTACCTTCATCATCATTTGTATCTTTGCATCATCTTCATGTCTTCATGTCTTCATCTCCATCTTCATCTTAATCTTCATCATCATTTCTTCATGTCTTCGTCTTCATAATTATTTCTTCATATCTTCGCATGTTCATACCTCCACATCTTCAGTTCCATCTTCATTCTAACTTTCATCTTCATCTCCATTTTTATGTACATCTTCATCTTCTTCTGCTTGTCATTAAAAAGTTCTAAACGAAGTTGCAACATTACCTAAAGAATTAAAAACCTCGGCAATTGTTTAATGATCACTTGAACCATCAGTGAACAGAACATGTGTTGATCCAAACCTAAGCTGCAACTGTGACGTCTCCGCCGGAAATGCTGGCAAGTGGTTATCCGACGAAGGTTACTACGAAACTCCAGACTCCCTAGGAATTACAGGAATGGTCTTCTTGCAACAAAGAGACCTTGAAGAGGATGCACAGGGCAGAATTACCTTGGGTCCGCTAGAATGTGTCGAAACAAGTAAGTAACCTAATCAAATTCTATTCAAATCAAATTACACAAGTCATATTAAAGAATATCTTAAATTCACTAGATACCCAGAAGTATGTGGTGACATTCACAACATCACAGTCCTACATCGAAGTACCAGGCTGGAGAAAAGGAGACATTGCATTCAGCTTTCGAACAACAGGAGAGAAAGCAATCTTGCTGTATCAACCACCTATCAGAAGCAACTATCCTTCCTTTATGGTTGCTCTAACTTCTGAGTACCGTTTGACGTTTAATTTTACCTTGAACACTGGTACCATCAGGGAACTGGAAGTGAAGAGTAGAAGAAAGTTGAATAATGGAGAGTGGCAGAAGATTTGGATCGATTATAATGACTATCATGTTAGATTCATGATTAATACAGACTTTCAGATGGTGGATTTGTTACCGGAAGAGGAATTTGGTCCTTTTGAGGGGTCTATGTTCATTGGAGGCGCTACTGCGTGAGTAATTTCCCAACTCAGTATTTTATAACTCCATATGTTCCAATTCTACATCTTTCAACTCCACATCTCCTTACTTCACATCTTCCAACTCCACATCTCCCAATTCCACATCTTCCAACTCTACATCTTCCAACTCCACATCTCCCAATTCCACATCTTCCAATTCCACATCTCCTAACTCTATATCCTCCAACTCCACATTTCCCAACTCCACATCTCCCAATTCCACATCTCCCAATTCCACATCTTCCAACTCCACATCTCCCACTTCCACATCTCCCAACTCCACATCTTCCATCTCTACATCTCTCATCTCTCCTTCCCCCATCTCCACATTCTACCTTACCTCCAAAAACACCTCTCTCACTACAATCTCACCTTTCAGAGAGCATCTAAGAACATCCTCAGTTCGCCAAGCACATCTCCCAACTCCACGTCTCTCCAACTTCACATCTTCCAACTCCACATTTTCCAACTCCACATCTCCCACTTCCACATTTCCCAACTCCACGTCTCCCAATTCCACATCCTCCAACTTCACATCTTCCAACTCCACATTTTCCAACTCCACATCTCCCACTTCCACATTTCCCAACTCCACGTCTCCCAATTCCACATCCTCCAACTTCACATCTTCCAACTCCACATTTTCCAACTCCACATCTCCCACTTCCACATTTCCCAACTCCACGTCTCCCAATTCCACATCCTCCAACTCCACATCTTCCAACTCCACATCTTCCAACTCCACATCTTCGAACTCCACATCTCCCAACTCCACGTCTCCCAATTCCACATCCTCCAACTCCACATCTTCCAACTCCACATCTCCCAACTCCACATCTTCCATCTCTACATCTCTCATCTCTCCTTCCCCCATCTCCACATTCTACCTTACCTCCAAAAACACCTCTCTCACTACAATCTCACCTTTCAGAGAGCATCTAAGAACATCCTCAGTTCGCCAAGGACTCATAGGCTGCTTCCGGGGCCTCGTCGTAAACGGCGAGATACTGGACATCCACAGCTACATGTCCGTCCACCTATCTGAGATAATAAAAGATTGCAAACCTTCATGTCAGCCAAACAAATGTCAAAATGGCGCCAGGTGCGTGGAACTGTGGAGCAACTTCGAGTGCGTCTGCGAGAACCGGTGGGCTCATCTTGGCACTTATTGCGAAAGAAGTAAGCTAAAATCTTGAATCATCTCAACACATTTTAGACTAACCCTCTAACAAGAAACAATTTTAATCAAAATTGAATTGGTCAGATATAAACAACAAGGCACTGACGTTCACCTCGCCAGGTGCATTCTTGAAGAAGAATTATTTTGGTACTGATGAAGAGGACCAAGAGAAGTTATTGCTGAAGAGGATACTTCTACAGAATATACTGATCAACCTCAGAACTTATGACACTCATTCGCTGATCTTGTATGCTAATGATCATTTGAACAACTTTGCTCATCTTTATATTTCCAATGGCACTAGTATCGTTTACTTGTTCAATGCTGGGAATGAGATTAAGAATATCACTGTTGAGTATCCAGGTAATTAAGTTTTTGAGTCTGTGATTAGGTAGATGATTAGATGATTGGTTCTGGACTGTGCTAACATTCCTAATTCCCACATTGTCTAATTCCAGCTTTCTTCAATTCCCACATTGTTCAACTCCCACATTGTCCAACTTCTACATTGTCTAATTCTCACATTGTCCAACTTCCACATTGTCCAATTCCAACATTGTCCAATTCCCATATTGTCCAATTTCCAGATTGTCCAATTTCCACATTGTCCAATTCCCACTTTCTTCAATTCCCACATTGTCCAATTTCCACATTGTCTAACACTCACATTGTCCAATTCCCACATTGTCCAACTCCTACATTGTCCAATTCCCACATTGTCCAACTCCCACATTGTCCAACTCCCACATTGTCCAACTCCCACATTCCCAAATTCTCAAGTCTCCTGATTTCTCATTCTCCACATTCTGAGATTCCTACATCTTTAGATCTCTAAATTCCAAGGTTCTTAAACCCTCCATCCTTGAACTTCTACTCCCTCAAATCTCTGAATCTCTAAATCTCTACCCCATCAACCCCAGATCCTCACCCTTATCAATAACTACTGTTACTCCCACAATTAACCCTCTACCACAATCACTCTCTCCAATCAAACACTCTATCATTAAAATATCTCCAAATGTCTCTAAATGTCTCTAAACATCTCTAAACATCCCTAAATATCTCTAAACATCTCTAAATATCTCTAACCATCTCTAAACATCTCTCCACCAGGTGTGAATACAGGAATATCAGTGCAAATCGCCATCATCCGCACAGAGAAGTCCACAACGCTCCACGTGAACGAGTACAACCTCACTCTCAACGCCACACCAGTCTTACTAGACACGTACTCGAACAAGCCTTGGATAAACCCAGAGAAGGAGGTGCTAGCACCGCAGAGGCCACCCGCACCACCCACCAACTACTTCCAGGTGAGATTTCGGGCTTTCAAGTTGAATGTACACAATGATCAGCGATCTTACATAGGTGAATCTAGGAGGCTTCGACCCGGACGATCTTCTGAGGGTGGGCAAGGAGGGCGCCCTTATACAGGGCTACGTGGGTTGCTTGCGTGGTCTGATGATCGGGGAGTATCTCGTCGATCTACCGAGTCTTGCTAACGAGGCCAACCACGAGGGCAGCAAAGGAGTGCTGCCTAATTGCCAGATGAAGTGCGATGCTATGCCTTGCAAGAATCTGGGGATCTGCACGGAGGACTTTGGGAGGCAGGAGTCGTCGTGCAATTGTGAGCTGACGTCGTATTTTGGGGAACATTGTGCTGATGGTGAGTGTTTGGATAGTTTATTAATTTGGGGTTTGGATGTGGTAGTTAAATTTTTGTAGTTAGACTTCTGTTTATTGATTAAATTAAATTTTTTGAGGGCCCAAATTGCAAATTATTCAAATTCTAAATTTGCAAAGATGCAAATTGCCTCAATTCCCACATTGTCCTATTTCCACTCTCCTCAATTCTCATATTGTCCCATTTCCACTCTCCTCAATTCTCACATTGTCTTATTCCCACTCTCCTCAATTCCCACATTGTCCAACTCTCACATTGTCCCATTCCCACTCTTCCCAATTCCTACATTGTCTTATTTCCACACTTCCCAATTCCCACATTGTCCAACTCCCACATTGTCCTATTCCCACTCTCCCCATTTCCCACATTGTCCAACTCTCACATTGTCCCATTCCCACTCTTCCCAATTCCTACATTGTCTTATTTCCACACTTCCCAATTCCCACATTGTCCAACTCCCACATTGTCCTATTCCCACTCTTCCCAATTCCCACATTGTCCTATTTCCACTCTTCCAAATTCCCACATTGTCCAACTCCCACATTGTCCTATTCCCACTCTCTCCAATTCCCACATTCTCCAATTCCACATTCCCTAGTAAAATTTAATAAAAATTAAATTAAATTTCTGATGAGATTGTTAATTTACTTTTGTGGTGAAGTTAGAGCTGGGATTTATGATGGGTTCTGAATCTTTGAATTGTTAGAGCTAGACTTACAGTGGGTTAGTTATATACTCAGTGGCAATAATGTGTTGATTTGTTGATACTTTGTTACTACAAAATACTTTTTGATTATTGAAAAAAGATTTCACAAATTTTCCAAATCTTCAAATCTTCAAACACCATAAAATTTTCATCTTCCGTCAGAAAAGGGAGCAGACTTCAGCGGAGAGAGTGTCTTACAACGCGAATTTGACTTAGTGGGTGAAGTGAGTCAAGTCAAAGTTCAACTAGCATTTTCCACCAATGAACTCCGACAACGCACGACAGCGCTCTTACTCTTGCAAACAGAGAACAAGTAAGCTCTTAATAACCACTCCATGCATTCGCTATAAAAATTGCGTTCTATATTTTTGAAAATCTTCACGAATCCTGGATGTCTTTCGAAAGATTTTTTTTCCAGAAGAAGCTACTACTTGCTGGTCGCCTTAACGTCTGAAGGGCAGTTGATTTTCGAGGAGGACAGAGAAGGATCGGCTTATGGTGTGCGTCTTAATGATAGGAACTTTCTCAATGGTGCTCGGCATAGTGTGTATTATGTTCGGGATAACAACACTGCTACATTGTTGGTAAGAAATTTGAAATTTTATAAATTGTTGAAGAATCAAATAGCAAATTATTCAAATTCTAAATTCCTCAAGTTACAAATTGGCTAAATTTTCACATTGTCCTATTCCCATATTCTCCACTTTCCACATTGTCCTATTCCAATAGTGTCCAATTCCCATTTTGTCCAATTTCCACATTGTCCACTTCCCACATTGTCCTACTCCCACATTGTCCTATTTACACATTGTCCAATTCCAACAATTCCCAATCCCCACATTGTCCACTTCCCACATTGTCCAATTCCCACATTGTCCAATTCTCACGTTGCCCAATTCCCACATTGTCCAACTTCCACATTCCCAAGTTCTCAAAAGTCCCCAATTTCTCCACTGCCAAACTCTCACGTCCAGGCTCTCCCTCATCTTGAAACCTCACCTTTCCAATCTCCCAAATTCCTCAATTCTCAAATCCCCAAATCTCCCCAAATCTCCCCAAGTAATTAGTAAACACACATTGCACTTGCAGATCGATCGAGAGCCCGTGCAGCTATTACCCATCCCCGTCCTAAACCTAGGAGACGACGAAGACGAAAGTCCCGGAGTAACCGAGATCCAACTAGGCGGTCTGAACACAACGGACTCGAGATTCAGCGCGTACAAAGGATACACCGGATGTCTGAGCAGTGAGTGAGACGATAAATCGATCGATCGATATGTCCGTCGTGAACGATCATCAATCGTGGACGGCGACGCGAGAGCGTTCTTCTAATAGAAACAATGTCTTTCTGATGTTAGACAAAACGATCGTCAGCCACATTGCGAATTCGAAATGACGGATACCCTCTTCTTGTAGACGTCGTGGTATCGATCAACGGGGGACCTGGCATGAAGCCACTCGAGGAATATATGCTCTTTACGAAACAGGGCAGCGAAACTGTCCGAGCCACGATACCTGCTGGGGTCAGGAGCGCACAGTGCGCCGTCTTCCACGCTCAACCACGTGGCCTCGACCCACCTAGAAACGATAGTGTGGTAAGCAGTTATTTTTTACTTATTTAGAAATCAGGGGAAGCATCTTCTTAGTAGTTGGATAGGACTCGTGTGAGGGATGGCATATGTGAGATGGCATACTCATGTGAGGGATGGCATATGTGAGATGGCATACTCATGTGGGGGATGACATATGTGAGATGGTATACTCATGTCAGGAATGAAATATGACACTCGTGAGTGTGATGACATATAGGACTCATGTCAAGAATGAGATATGAGAGTCATGAGTGTGATGACATATAGGACTCATGAGTATGATAGCATATGAGACTCATGTGTGTGATGAGACATATGAGACTCATGTGAGCGATGAGATATATGAGACTCATGTGAGTGATGAAATATATGAGACTCATGTGGGTGATGAGATATATGAGACTCATGTGCGTGATGAAATATATGAGACTCATGTGAGTGATGAGATATATGAGACTCATGTGAGTGATAACATATGAGACTCATGTAACTTACGGAATATGAGACTCATATGACTAATATGATATGAGTCTCATGTGAGTGATGATATATGAGACTGTATATGAGATCCCCATATACAGTTCAGTCTCTTACTACATCATATACTACATGTATGTATCCTACATCTGTACTACACGTATCTCCTTCATGTATATCCTACATGTGTACTACTACATGTCTACATATGCTTCATATGCACCACATGTACAACCTTCATGTGTATCCCACATGTGTACTACTACATGTCTACATATCCTTCATATGCACCACATGTACAACCTTCATGTGTATCCCACATGTGTACTACTACATGTCTACATATCTTTCATATGCATCACATGTACAACCTTCATGTGTATCCCATATGTGTACTACTACATGTCTACATATCCTTCATATGCACCACATGTACAACCTTCACGTGCATCCTACATGAGTATTACTACATGTCTACATATGCTTCATGTGCACCACATGTACATCCTTCATGTACACTCTTCATGCATGTCCCACATGTATATTGTTCATGTATGTTCTTCATCACATCCTTCACACATATTCTTCATCATATCCTTCATGTGTGTTCTTCATCATAACCTTCATATGTATCCCACACACATGTACCTGCAACCACATGTAACACATATGTATCATACGAATTAATTAATTAATTTTGCAATGTTTGTGAACCAGGGTCGTGACAGAGCATGGGTGGAGGACCCACCCGAAAGAATTCTGTACAAATCCCAATACTCGGACGCGACCCAAGAAGAACAAGGTGCCGGTACTTACATCTTCATCGCCTTATGCTGCGTCTTCGTGACCGCAGTAATCGGTTGCATTTACGAAGTCTGGAGAAGTGCAAGAAAAGATCGACGACGTAGACGAGCAGCAAACGTTAGTGGTTCGACCACTGTGACACCTTCCGGTTCGCAAAGATGGCAAGCGCCACAGTATACTGACACGATAGCCAGCGGTGTGAAGACAGTGGGTTTCAAGAACGTGGAAGACGAGAAAAGACCTAATGGCACACACGTGAAACCCATTGGCAAGGAATATAAACCGCTGACCAACGCGGAGAATAAAGACTTGGTTAACGATAAAAGGGTTCATATAAAAGGTACGTGCTTTGTTAGGGATTTTCGTGAAATGTGATGCAGGAATTTAGTAAGTTTTACTTTGCAGCAGATGAAGAACCAGAGAAGAAGGAGCTCCTAGGGGTAAATACAGGCATCATCACTAAACCTCCGAAACCAAATCCATTCGTAAAGATTTTTTCTTTTTTTTATAGAAATTACATATTAAGTTCTAAGCAGCTTGCCAAGTGGACGTTCTTCTGCAAAATATGAAGCAGTATTAGTAAAAAATATTACAATTTCATACAAATCAAAATTTATATATAAAAGTACATAAATATACTTTCAATAAATTATTATGAATGTTTTAAGTGAATTTTACAAATTAATTAATGAGAGTAAAGTCAAAATTGTCTACTATGCAGGCTGCCTTTGAATGCTTTAAAAAATTGTTTAACTCTAAACAATTTTTGATGAACAGCTAGAAATCCCAGTAGAACAATGAACTAGAAAATAATAATATTTAGTAGACAATTTTTTTAATAATTAGACAATTGTAAAAATTATTTAATTTTGATGAAGTGATTATTTATGACAAATTTTATAATAGAGTCAAATAGATATATTGAAATATGGAATTTGTACTTAATTGTTATATTTATTTGTTAATTGTTATACGTATTTGTTAAGGGTTTTAAATTTAGTATAAATATATACTTTTCTTTGTGTTAGTGAGTTAGAAAAGTAAAGTAGAGACATCTAGCAGCAGAACCGTGAAACTGCAGACAAAATGGACGATGAAGCAATAAAGATAACACTAACTTCTTTATTTTAAGAATTTAATACCAAAACAGTAATATTTTCTTACACTTTTATTTTGTAAATTTTGTACACATAATTATATAGTATTTTAAAATTTTAGAGCAAAGAAGACCATTCGAAAATGTATATTATCTTCATGAAAGTGAAATTGCAGAATTGTGATGAATAGTTCCTTTCATAATTATTCAAAGAATATTTAAAAAAAAGAAAGCGATGCAAAAATATTGATTTTTCAACTTAAATTCTTGAAGTAACAAAATTATTGCAATTCTTATTACTTCTCCATCGCCATTTTGTTTGGAACTTCTCGATTTCGCCGCTAGCGACCAATCCACTACAATTTTAATGTCTCAATAATTGCAGAAATAACGATAATTATTAATTTTCCGTAGCATTTGTAATTAAAACAGTAGAATAAAATAGTTAATACAAAATTTTTATATAAAACACAAATGATGTTTATATGGAAATGTTTCTTTGTAGTCAATGGAAGATTTGCAAGAAGAACCAGAACTGGAGGAATGCGAAGAAGAAGAGGAAGAAGAAGAAGACGACGATTCTAAAAAAGAGAATCAAAACGAAGAAGAATCAGATCAATCGAAAACGGAGCTAATCGACGACAAAGATTTCGCGAAATCGGTAAGAAAAATGTCGAGAAATTATTCTCTGAACAGATAGATCTCTGTCCTTGAAAAAAATGAGTATAATTAAATTTTATAGTAGAAACTATAGTAATGGAGGACCAAAATGATATTTATAAATTGTTGCAATTTGAATTCGATAAAGAAGACTGATTTTTATGCGTTCAAGGACCGATTCGATTCTACCAGAAATTGAATGTGCTCTAATCTGTTCATCCAACTCTTGCCTTGTGATTTTCTTATTGAAATATTTGGAAATATTTGATTATTAAGATTGAGGGATGTGGGAGAGTTTTTTTTGGATTTTGAGTTTTTAAGTTCTGAATTTCTAAATTCATTAGATCGTGCATATACAGAATTCTAAAGCTTGCAAATTCCCAAAATTAAGAGTTTCAGAATCAAAAAATTCTCAAACTTACAAGGTTTGATATTCACAAAATCCCAAAATGAGAAATTTAAAAAATCTCCAAATTCTCATATATCCAATTCCATAAATCCCCAGACTCTCATATTTACAATTCCATCAATCCCCAATTCCATAAATTCCAATTCCATAAATCCCCAATTCCATAAATCCCCAATTCCATCAATCCCCAATTCCATAAATCCTCAATTCCATCAATTCCCAATTCCATAAATTCCCAATTCCATCAATCCCCAATTCCATAAATCCCCAATTCCATCAATCCCCAATTCCTAAACACCCCAAACTCTCAAAATGCCAAATTCTAAAAATCCCCAAATTCCCATATTTCCCAAATTCCCACAACCCCAAATAACCAAACCCACAAAATCCTTGAAACTTCCCAAAAAAAATGTTCCACTAAAACAAATAAAAAATCACCCAAATCACAAGGCAAGTGTTCAAATACCACAACACGATCAATGTTACTCATCTTCACTGTCACATATTTGTTACCACATATCGTCTCTGTATCTACATGTTCCTCCTCTTTTTTTATACGATTATGCAATATTGATTATGTTACACAACGAATAAAATTGAGAATAAAACTGACGAATGATTCTGAGAATTTGTTACATCTCATTCCATCAACACCCACGAAACACCTGAAACTCCTGTACGAATGAAAGATCAATCATACATGGCATGGAATATCGAAAATCTGTTGAATAGTGCGAGAATCGTAATCGAAGTGTGTGATACTTTCAGCCGGATAATTCACCTAGGATAAGTGTTGAATCGTTAAACAACATTCCTGAACACGATGACACGAAAACGCAGAACGAAATATAGAGGTATCGATATTATACCAGAGGATGCATTGCTACTTCTCTTTTCTATGCTTTTTCAAATTATAGGAATATTTGCATGTTGACTTGTGTGATGATTTTTTTGATCAATTTTGGAATTTGTTTTTGATATGCTGTATGAAAATTTTACATATGGGATATATTAATATTAAATGCATATGGGATAGATTAATTTTTAATACATATGGTATATATTAATTTTTAATACATATGGGATATATTAATTTTTAATACATATGGTATAGATTAATTTTTAATACATATGGGATATATTAATTTTTAATACATATGGGATATGTTAATTTTCAATACATATGTTATACATTAATTTTAAATGCATATGCAATATATTAATTTTAAATACTAAATTTTGAATGGAGAATATAATAGCTTTTTAGATTTTAATTAGGGTAGTTTTGAAGTTTCATACAAGATTCAAAGCACATTTTATTAATTGACTGCAGTGGAAAAAAATTGTGTGTATTTAGAAGCATTGTACAATTAAGTATTCAATTTGAAAGGAAAGTATTATGTTTCAAAGGAAAGTATTAAATTTCAAAGAACAGTATTAAATTTGAAAGGAAAGTATTAAATTTCAAAGGAAAGTATTAAATTTCAAACAGAAATATTAAATTTCCAACCAAGGTATTAAATTTCCAACCAAAGTATTAAATTTCCAACCAAAGTATTAAATTTCAAACCAAAGTATTGAATTTCCAACCAAAGTATTAAATTTCCAACCAAAGTATTAAATTTCCAATCAAACTATTAAATTTCAAGCAAAAGTATTAAATTGCAAACGAAAGTGCAATATGATACAAAGGGGAAAAAATGTATGAAATGCTCAAGTGAAAATGCACATCCATTAACATTTATCACAGATTTAATCACTGACCATTTTTAATTAAAAAGTATAACAATCGAAAGCATCTATTATGAAGTTATGAATTCGTACGAACGAATGCATCAATCAATATTGCATGAATTGCAAACATAATTTTTGCGAGAATGAAATGTCTAGTGCACGTTGCATCAAAGTTTAATTGAAATTATGACACGTTGAGTACCGCGGTAGAAATGGATATTTGGACGGACATACACTGAATCTTTTATTAAATATACAAATTTATAGTCGACTTTGTAATTTAATTTTATAATATTAATTTTGTTAATGGCTTTATTTTTTATCGAGTAAAAATGGAAATTCTATTTAGTCAAAATTCAAAATTTTATTTAGTCAAAGTTCAAAATTTTATTTATTCAAAACTTAAAAATTTACTTATTCAAAATTTTATTTATTCAAAACTTAAAGTTTTACTTATTCAAAATTTCATTTATTCAAAATTAGGAACTTTATTTATTCAACTGTAAATTCGTTTAATAGATTCAGAATTGTAATTTTAAATAAATTAAAAATTATACCTTCAATTTATCATAAATTATAATAATTACAATGCACTCAAAATATTTTTAAAAATTCAAGATTGCATTTTTAATGAAATCAAGATTATATATTTAATGAATTAAAGATTGTATTTTTAATGAATTGAAAATTATACTTCTTGTACCTTGAAAGTTACATTTTCAGTGCATTCAAGATTACTTCTTTTAATCTCTAAATTGCATTTATCTTGCACTACCAGTGACACTCATGGCAATCAACGTGTTAATTACACCTTAAAAACAGAAGCTTGAATCTTCAGGTAGAAAATTATTTTACAAATAGAATTTTCACTTTATTCAGGCGAATGCTCGTAATGGAATTGAACAACGTTGGACGATACACGATTTGTCTTCAGGTATGCACTTTCCTCATAAACAACCAAAAAGATTTTTACTTTTATCTTAGAAAACTAATTTTCTTCTTTAATATACTTACTTGAGTATTATCTTTATTCTCTCTTATTGACGTTTTTCTCTTGTGTATAAAATATTTCATTTCCAACGTTGCAACAGAGGCAGCCATTTTGATTGCAAGAAAGCAGCCATTTTGTGCAACGGAACGCGTGCGAACTGTAATAATAAAAATTTTAATGAATAAAATTGTAAATTTAATCGAATATTTTTTAACTAGTATTTTAAATGTAAAGCACTTGTAAAGAAATTATAGAAATTTAAAAATTTAAGAAATTAAAATTGAAAGAAACTGTAAGAGTAATAAAAAAGAAAAAAAAATAATAAGAGTAAAAAGTACAAATTTTTATTTTCTCACAAATTACAAAAAATAAATTACCTTAAATTTTAAATTACATTAACAAATATTCCATTTGTATCTTCCTGTAATTTTTTAGATTCCACAAGGCCTCTAGTTGTCAATCTACAGCCCATCTATCTCTCGGACGACCGAAGAGCATTTGGAAATCCACTGAATTATCTCGGTGGCCGAAAATTCCAACCAAATAGAAATTCCATCGAATCCATATTATCCTTGGATTAATTATGTCAGGAATGAAAAAACTGGTCACTGAAATATCTCTCTTCTTATCTCTTATTTCAACGACCATATCTTGTACCACTTAAGCACTGGAACCAAATGAAATAATTATAATAATCGTAATACTGGGATTTGCATTCCCATGCAGTGATAAATAGAAATACATGAAAAATATGATATATTTATATATAGTTTAGTATCTTCCTAATAACAAGTTAACGAGAGTTGATAATTATTTTCTATTTCGAATGGACGTCTGTATTGTATTATATTTATCTGAAAAGTGATGCAAATAAAATTATTTCAATGTACAAATTCAGGTTTTAAATGTATTTATGAAATTGTGTGAAGTTTTATGTGGTGAACATTTTTGGGATTTGTAATATAAGCTGAAGATTTAAAGAATCTTAATTGAAGATCCTTAAAATTATAAAATTGTATAAATGATAAAATTGAAATTGAAATTGTAAAATTATAAAATAACAAAATTATAGAATTTAGAGAAAAAATTAGAGATAAAAGTTATAAAAGTTAGAGATTCTGAAATTCTCAAGTTCATCAATTCTTAAAATCATTTTGGACAAATCTAGAATCCCAAAATTGTAAAATATAAAATTTAAAGGTACTGAAGTTCTAAATACCTGAAGTCCCAAAATCCAAAAATCCCTGGATACAGCTCTAACATCTTAAAAATATTAAAATCAATATTAATAAATAATGTATGCTTAATATTGTATAAAGTTTAAAGATGCTCTTCTACAAACCTGAAGTCTCAAAATCCAAAAATTCCAGGATACAGATTTAACATCTTAAAAATATTTAAATCAATGTCAATAAATTTATGTATATTGCATATTATTTAATGAAATCATTATTACTTACATTTTTAGGAAAATTAAACAAGTAGCTCCATCTCAAATAGTAGTCTTGAAACTGTGGCCACACGCCATGCTCTATCTCGTTGATAATACAGGAAATGACATAAAAATGGTAAAAGTTCATAGTAATCACCAAAAACTCCTTACAGATATTTTTACACAAAACAGTACATCTGCAAAATTTAAAAAAAATAATAATTTTCTAAATTTTCTTCTATTCTAAAATTAATAAATCTAGACATATGTAAAACTTATAATATATATACTTACTTGATCCATGAGTACATATGGATCATTTATTTTAAAAGTGATGTAAGTCCATTTTCATCAATATGTAATTTAATTATACAAATTTGTTTTAGGTGATTTAACTAGAATAATGGACTTACATCACTTGCAAAATAAACGATCTGTATACTTACATGATCCACATTTCCAGTTCAAAAAATTTCGAAAAAAAATATAAAATAATTGAAATTTCAACTTATTTCGTAGCTATTAGCTCGATATCGTTTTCTAAAGTACATTAAAAATATTTAGAAAACGATATCGATTACCAGGTCACACCACGTGGAGGTTGCTACGACAGTGACCCACCCTAACTCCAAGTCCCAACCACCCTCCATATGCAACCTCATTTATCAGAAGGATAAATGAGTTCTGACTCTACATAGCTCATAGGCTCGCATATACAAGTTCTTTACCACAATCCAGTAAAGAACTTGTATCACACACACACGCACATATATTAACTTAATACTAATCGCATAGGATCCCACCCACGCACGCTTAACTTATTCTAAACGCCGCACGATGCCTCTCATTCTAAGATTGCATTCAAATAATCTCTGACGAACTCAAAAAGCAAGGGGAAGAAAGTTAGAAGAACTTTCTACTAGAAACTAAGAAAGTTAGAAGAACTTTCTACAAAAAGAAAAGAAAGTTAGAAGAACTTTCTGTGAAAAAATGGGATCAGTATTTTTCGCCAAGGGAACCTCGCCTTCCATGGGTCAAAGGGTAGTCCACAGTGGCTTACGTGAACCACGAGACAGAGATGAACCGAAAATACTGGTAAGAACGAGTGACACATCCGCGGAAAGTTTCCCATTTCTCCCCGCTTACGTTTTAGGTAAGTCTTACTGCAGAGAGGAAACCCTGCCGTGAGGCACCCGATCGAGACGGACCATCAATCGATCGGCCCCGCAGGATGTGTCCCTGGCGCTACACCAGCACTTGCAGCTCACCTCTACCGCGTGTTCACAGCGCTATGAACCCCCCATGATCCACTCGCTATGAACCCCCAATGATCCACTTGGGTTCGGACCGATTGACAAAAAATAACTGGGTATACTACAAGCTAACGCGTACAAAGATTGAGAATTCAGAAGATGCAAGTTAGAATGAGAGGAACTTACAGGGACTCGTGCGCCCACGAGCACAATTAACTTGAAACTAACGCACGCATTAAATTCACTTAAAACTAACGCACGCATTAAATTCACTTAAAACTAACGCACGCATCCCTCGATGGATGTCTTCAATGATGACCTGTTCATTACCTACACAACAATTAGTCGTAATAATAAAAAGAGGAAAGGGGGAAACAAATGCAATATTGTAACATTATAATGTTTAGGCATGCACAATTCACGTCGACTCCTTAAAAATGCACCTGTAAAATGTACAATATACTTGAGAAAAATTCAATTACTTAATTAAAATAGGAACCTGAAACAAACAAATACAATTAAGACACATATGAATAAATAAATTGCTTACATAAAATTAAAACCTGAAACATACAGAAATGGAAACATGAAACATACAAAAATGAATAAGACAAGTATGAAACATTGAAAATTGCGTACATAAAATTAAAGCCCTAAATGTGCCTTTTGTTCTAAGATTGCACTCGTATAATGTAAAAGTAAGTAAAGAGCAGAGTAAAAGTAAGTAAAGAGAAGAGTAAAAGAAGAAAGTTGGAAGAACTTTCTTTTAAGTTTAAAGC